AAGAACAGAATTTATAAATATTAAACTGTGATTAATTGATGGATCTACTCTACCACTGTCACCACCTCCACAGGTGAAAGTATTTAGCAATTAACATCAGCATGTTTTTTGATCCTTCATTGTCATTGTTGTTGGACAACATTTAAATATTTCTAGTATTTATGTTGTTGATTAAAGTTAACAAAGAAATAGTCACACGATGCTGTATGTGTTACTATTGTGAAAATTCATACCAGATGTGTTCTATAAAAACCATCAACAAAGTTAAAGCAAGAGCTTCATTAATAACTTTATTGGACATTATAAACTACATTAATTTAAACAATTTGCAACACTGGAAACGTATAAGAGAATGTAATAAATGGATTAATTAAATATTGTAGTGTACAATTTACAATCAACTAACTATTTTGAATCGAAAAATAGTTGTGGATGACGTTAAAGCTGAATTTCACTGTCATATGTAAGTTTGCTTAATAAAAAGCAGTAGTTGAATCAACAGTGCAACAGAACTTTTAGAAACAAGTATAATCATTATTCATCATGAGTCCTAATGTGTGAAACAGTTAATATTTATTTTTTCCAGTAACAATCTCCCTCTAAATAAGTGATGCTGTTGAAGCAGCACACTGATATTAACTATAATGTCTGAGGACTATGAAATACGGACTCTAATGTTTTAAACTATTGACAATTTGTTACAGCTGCAGTGGAGTCCAAAAGTCATGTGATTGTATGTCTGATATGGGGCAGAGTGTAATAAGACAGTGAGTGTGTAGGGAACAATGAAGAGCAGAGCTGATAAGACTGAACAATGTTATGGCCACCAGTGTTACATTAAAAAATACTGTATTATCATATAAGACACTGTGTCTATGTTTGGGAAGAAAAGATCTTCATGTGTGGACACTGCAGGTGGAGGTGGTGCAGGGCCTCCATCATTGCTGCAAGAGGTTATAGGTGTCCCCAAAGATCCAGACCTTGGCTAGATGGAAGAAAACATTATAATAGAGAGAAATCATATCAATATCATATTGTAGAGTATAGCGAGAAAGACAAAAGAAACAGCACTCTGATTAGATGATCACAGATATCTGAAGATACATTATTCCCTCGTCTTAGTTGTAATAAACAGTCTGCTGAACCGTTTTACATTAAATAACAATAGAATAGAAACTAATACTCACTTTGGTGTCATTGTGTAGGTGCATATGTCATGATGATCTCTCTTTTACAAATCTCTTTGCCACAAGCCCAATTTTTTTTTTTTTTCACATGCACAAACTTTAATTTCTCATGCAGGTTTATTTTACAGGTTTACAAAGGTTGATTTACAACTACAAACATTGGAATTACACCACTCATCCACACCATCAAACTTTACAGTCACAGTTCATCCTGGATCTTGTGGCTGATTTGACAATGGTCCAGTCAGAGTGTTCACAAGCTTTAAGTGCAGCCTTCAGGTTTTTGTGTTCCCTATCTTGAGCCTGGACACTTGGCACATTATCAGCTCGGTGTTGCAGGGTTCTGATAACTCCTAGCTAACTTCCAGTGGGTGGTGAGCGGGGCATTTTCCATTCATTTCAGATTTTATACTAAATTGCAATGAACCCATACTGCTAAATCTAATATTTTACTCAGGGCTTTTCCCTGGTTTAAGATGGTTTAGACCCTCCACTAACCTCTCCTGTCAGAGATGGTGCATTGTTTCTTTATTAAATGTCACTGTACACTCTATTCACAGCACCTGCATGTGTAAAAAGGCGTATAAACAAACAGCCCACTCAGCTCTGTGGTTCTTATTTGGCTTTGATTTGACCTACATTTGCCCATGTTGTTTCTTGTAATTATGCATTATTACAAATTTCAGCGGAAAAAGCCAGCCACCATATCTGGGAATGCGCGCGAGTGTGTGCGTGCGTGTCTGCTGTGCTGCTTGAGCGCCATAATACCCTATCTGAGAGGACACTACAGTTAATGTGATAGGAGGCATTTCCTGTCCCCGTGCCTTCAGTATAAACTGCAATATTGTAAGACGCGCACGGGAATTAAGATTCGGAAAGGGACGCTGTGACCCAAGAGTGCCCACAGACCTGCGTCAGAGGCCGGGTAAGTGCTGGGGAAGGCTTTCCCATTTTATCCCCGTGTCATTCACAGCCAGGCGACAGCATCCTCAGTGTGGTGTAACACGACGTTCTCAGTTTAGAGAGATACGTAGGTGCTCTCTTAATGTGAAAGACGTAACCTACACCAGACTTCATCGAACAATCTTAAAATTTGAAGCCATTTTCACTCTTAAGTGAAAGTGCATTTGTTAAGAATGTATTTCAATGAAAGTATTTATCAATAGGAGATAAATCTTCATTTCGGCATTCATATAATCCACCAAGTTTATTTATTAAAGCAAAATATGAGCTTGCTTCACGCTGGGCTCCCTTGCGGTTCACAATGGATTAGCGTGCTTCTGGTGGAAGCGGGTTGTGGGATTTACAGACGGGGCAGTTCAAAACATTAGAAGTTTTAAAAAGATGCGTCTTCCTACATTCTTTTTATTCTTGCCGAATGTGAGAGTGGATCCGACTAACTTGGAAAAATACATTAAGTGACCTTTCCTTGATATTAATATTTGACTATATGTGTAAAAACATTAAATTGAATAATTTCTGAATTGAGTTTCGTTCATCTCAAAGGGAGATGACTGAATAACATTATGCTGCGCTATACGTGAAAGGCACCAGCTTCGATTACCTTTTACCTTTTGATATTCTTGTGATAACACCGTGCAGGAATTGCACCTTATTGTTCTGAATTGTGCTTCTTACATAAATACAGTCGACAGCAAGGGATTGTTCGCTTCAGTGGGCTCTGACCGTATCCAAGGTCTTCTCCCCGAAGCGTTTTAATGCCAAGCAAAGCGGTGTCAGGAGTGAATCCTGCATCCTCTCTGATTGAGCGAGGGTTTGGATTATGGATGATTTCACAGCAGCTGTGCATGCACCTAGTCCAAATCATATTCTGAGACTGTAAACAATTATAAATACTATTGCATATGCTTATGTAAAAACGTTATTTTTGTATTCTCTTAAAGGTAGTTAAATAGTGCATAATATTTCTAGGGTGTTAAAAAAAACATTCATGACTAATATAGTCACTTGGAGATTTGTGGCTTTATAAATATTTAACAGCGCTCTCTTATCTTGTGCTTTTATTTAATTTATTTCCTAATGAATTTAATGCTAAAAGAAAAAAAATCTGCTCTGGTATTCCCAGAACTGATTTTTTTTTTTTTTTTTTTTTTACTACAGTGGTCTAATGTTTTTAAAAATATATCCAAACACCAGCAACAGCATGGCTTTGTTGTGCTGCAGAGGTTGAATCCCATTCTTAGACCTGCAAATGATAAATTATCAGACTTTATGCCAAAACTGTAACCAGATGAGGAGATATTACTTAAGTTGCAGGTTTGTAAACTGTGTGAAACTGACATGTCAGTAGGCTGTTGAAGAAGCAGCCCATAATAAACCCCCCTCTCACCGCTAAACTGGTTCAAGTTTGGAAATCTGATAGGAGGGAAAGTTGGATCAAGTTCTCTGAAATCATGTAAACGTATAGAGGAATTTACAAAGTGTATACCTTCAAAATAAAAGCAGCTTTTGTCACCGGAGCAAAAATACTGTTCTCTGGGAAAATTGATGAACATACAGTAGTATCAAAGGTCAACAGGGAAAAATATAATGTAGAGTAATTCAGTAATTGATTTTGGAACGATGAAAAGTATAATGTAAGCTGTGATCTGCAGTATTTGAAAGTTTGTAATGTTTTCATATTCCTTGGAGACATAGCAGCATGTCATAGTCGTTTCACGGACAACACATAGTTTTCATTCTTTATTATGTATTGTTCCTAAGTTGCCAGTAAAAGAAATTAGTTGGATTCTCTTTCTTCTCAGTGTTTTAGTCATTGAGTCTCTTATTTTGGAAGGCTACAACCGGAAGCGTTGTGTCGTACTCGGTGCAGCCTGACGCCGCTGGCAGACACAGGCAGCAGTATGCGGAGCAGCTGATGCTCTTACTGGGCTAAAAATAATCAACTTTTTTCTCTCCGACTCTCACTGTTAATTGTTTCTTTTCCTCTTTTTCTTTCCCTCTGTCTGTTTTCGTTTCTTTTTTTAAAAAAAACCCCAGGCATCAGGAATGAACCGCTGTCAGTGAGGATAATTACTTTTCTCTGAGGTAAGAGACTTTGGTGTTTTAATATTAGCCGAAAGTCGTCTTTCTCATTTAACTAGCTTAACTTAACGACTCTGTTGAACTTCACTGGTGTGTAAATTAGCTTTCGTATGTTAGATGGAGCCATGTTTAGCTCTTTGAAAAGATTTGGTTCGGTTAATGGGGCTGTAGTCTGATGCAGGTGTTGTTTTTGGTTAAAGGTGAAACTTAATTTACATACATTTGTATAAATTAGCACCATATTTTTGGTGTCAATTGTCCAGACTAACGGCTCCGCCTGTTTGGAGCCAGATTTCTTTTTCATAGTTTCCACAACGAAGTTAAATTTTTTATGTGCTGTATTAATATGCTCAATAAATCACTGGTTAACGGGCGTTTACATGGGAAAGCTTCAGCTCGGGCATTTATTGTGTATTTATTAAGTTTTCATTTTTGGACAAGAACAATCAGAACTTAAATAGAAACATTAATATTTTTTTCACCATCTGCCTTTATGCTCAGTATATTAAATTAGTTATTATTTTTCTACAGTATGGCACCAAATCACACGGTGCATAACTTGATCCAAACAAAGATGGCCGCCAGATGCAGCCGTTTGACCGTCTTTGTTTTTTTGTTTTTTCCAGAAAATTCCCACGTTCCTGACATGTAAAAATATAAGTTATAGTAAATCTTATATGACGGAAATATTCAGTGAACTCTATGACTTCTGAATTTGGATGTACACCTCTTGTTCTTTTTCCTCAAACCGAGGAAGTGGCAGATCCTTTCCCAGAGTGAACGTCTCTTCTTCAGGCCCTGGCTCCAGTTTTAGGGCCTCAGAAAGTGTGAGCAACTCCTCCGCCGCCTCCTCCTGCTCCTACAGCTGGGCATTTTCTGCCTGGAGGGCCTGAACCTTGACTTTGGTGACAAACTCAAGGTTGGTTGAGGTCAGTTCTTCCAATCTTGCTTTTAGGCTCTCCACTTCCTGATGGAGGGCATCTTTCTCCATCCTCAGCCCCTGGATCACCTGCTTTCCGGCGTGGGACTCTTCCTCTTCTTTGAGCTGCTGCTAATGGATTTCCTTTTGTTGGCGCAGCTGTCAGCGGCTCTTTTGTTCCTGTGTTCAAAGATTTCTTTCGCTCAGTTTTGCATGTCACTTGTTGAACGGTCTGAATATAAATTACCTGCTGATGTCATAGAATGATGGTTTAATAGTCAGAGGAATAGTCCAAAGTTGTTCCATAGTTGTGGTTCCACCTTGGTTACCTTGGTTACTGTCATGGAGGAAATTTTCACAGCACTTCCAAGTTTGAAGTTGAGCGTATGAGCGGTTGTCGAGAAAATCAAAAGAAAAGACAGACAGAGAGAGATCCCTCCATTTATTATTAGATCAATCGACTAATTATTGCAGCTCTAATCAAGTCAGTACAGTAGAGTGAGTTACATTACTGTCACTGTTTTGCTATAGTGCTAATGCTTTTGTCGTTTACAAAATGTGACACATGAGGGCAATTTTCAAATCACAGGTGCAATTTCTGTTATAACAAACTATTAACATTTTATTAAGCTGTAAGAAGTGGGAGAATCTTTCAGTGACTGTTGGTAGTTACTTATAGCTAATTAATGCCAATTTTGTGAGTTTGCTAAACTACAATATGACAACTTTAGCTGTTGACTGGTTGATATACTCTTTTCAAGCAGGTGTTTATGCTCAGCCAATTATGGCTTCAGCACTCTGATGATGTTTGAAGATATAGTCTGTGTTTTTTTTCTGCTGTAGAGTGGTGAGTCATTGCACAAGTAACTCCATGGATCAATATCTTATGAACTGAGCTCATCTTAAAAAGTTTTTATCAGGACAGCTGTTAGGCAGCTCATCCTATTAGTCTGTGAAGCTGACGTCAGCTCTGATCTGTAAACAGTTAAATAAAGAACAACCTGAGTGTCCTCATGGCCTCATGATTATTTGTAATAACATTCCCAACGTGTGGCCTTTCCAACACTTACATTCGTTTAACATTAAAACACCATAAGCCTGCGGGCATGTAGCTTTGCAGTGCCCCTGAAATATCTCTCGTGCTTCACATTGGAGTGCATCTGTGTTTCTGTGTAAGTGTGTGTGCACTTGAATGTGTGACATACCACAAACATGTTGGATCCATTCTCCAGAGGTCGAGCCAAAGCACTGTTGTTGACCCAGACAGCCAACGCTTTAAGGATCATAGAGAAATATTATGTAAAACACAGTACAGTACATATTCACCTATTTTGGCATCTTTTTCACAGACTGACTCGAGGCTTGTGTGGAGCAGTTGGGTGGTGGCATGGCCTTGTCGTTTTGCGGCAACGACAAACGTATCAATGCCTACAGCGTGGAAGAGGGTGTGCTGAACAATGGCTGCTTTGTGGACGCTCTCAACCTGGTCCCCCATGTCTTCCTGCTCTTCATTACCTTCCCCATCCTCTTCATCGGTAGGTGATCTTAACCCCCCCCACTTCTAAACATCTTCAGGAGAAGTGCTGGATATTTTGGAACAAAATAATCTAGATTGAGTACACAAAAGAGTCCCAAGTGGTTCATCCTGTGTTATGTGTATTCTGACAGATGTGTAAGTGTTTCCTGCTTAAGCCTCTAAGAGCCTCACCTTTTCTGCTGGACAGTCTCAGAAGTCGAGGCAGCTGTCAGGATGGAACTAATCCAGTGAGGATTAGTGAAGTACAGTCACACAGACAGTTTGATCTTTGTTTTGATCGTTTCCCATGTACTGTAGTGCGTCTAGTGCAAGTGATTATTGGACACTCATTGTCGTGAACATGCTTCTTTTTTTCTTTTTTTTTTACTGTGACTGACCAGGGTGAACCAGCCCCAGTGCATGCTGGGATAGACTGCAGCCCCATGTGACCCTCTATAGGATAAGAGGTTTTGAATAGATGGATAAGTAGATGACACGATTGAGCGGTGTTATGCACCAAGTTAAATGCATGTCAAATTAAGACACTTCATCATATTGATGCATGTCAATCTAAAATCCAACATCAGCATAAAACTCCTCATTAATTTGCCCAAAAAGGATCCCTGAAGCCACGATTTATGTAAACATAAGAAGCGAGTCACATGACACACTGTTGAGACAGGCTGTGTTTTTAATTATTAATATAGTTGGAAATGTCAATGGACTTTGAATGAGGTTTTCTCAGCTCTGGAACAGAACCCAGATGTTTCCTCTCTATTGAATATCAGTTAGTTTAATGTAGTTATATACAAATGTTGATATCTGAATATAAATTAATTTAATAAGGGATTCAGACTTGATAAAATATTGTTAAACCTTGACCCTCGTGAAATAAACAGCTCAGTCACACAGACGTGAACGACTCCCTGTCATCTGGCCACTACAGCAGATGTGTTAGTGATACACTGCCAACAACACCACACCCCCCAACTTAACACACACATATGCACATGCACACGCACACACACACACACACTTTAAGGCACTTCCTTGTCACTAGTGTGAACATTAAGCAGCTTTGAAGAGCAGTTAAGATGGGATTAGAGCAACTTGTCAGTGATCCACTGGCGGCTGGACATTTTCTGCAGGAAACAGTAAAATAAACAGTAAAATAAACTGCAGTAAACACACAGTGATTCTAAAGAAAGAATACTGATAATATAACAGTATATTGAGGTTTGCACTTGTTATCTTTTATTAGTTGAGTTCTGTAATATTCAGAAATATATTACATGTGTGTTATTGTGTGTGTGTGTAATTGTGTGTGTGTGTATTTGTGTGTGTGGGGTAATAGTAGTAGTTTATGGGAATCCTTCTGACCAGGAGCCCTCGGCCTGCTCCCCGAGGACTGACTAATTGATGCTTCCTGGTTCTGAGTTTTTATGGTCTCAATCCCCTGAGCCTCCAAATGGCTGCAGTCCATTTTGTTAAGAGCAGAACAAAAACTAATAAGAAACTATGTCGTCAATGTCAGCACAAGTAAAACCCCACGTTAGTGGCCCATAGTGTCACCCATTTTAACCAATAAACTGGAGTTCGATTAATTTGAGATGTCTACTTTCATGAAGTGTGAGATTGATAGTTTCTGCAATGATCAATTGATTGACAGATAAGACAGAGAATGAATTAGCAACTATTTTGATAATTGATAAATCATTTAAATGGATTTTCAAGCCAAACTTTGATTGACATTTCATCACTAATTTTCTGATGGTTTTTATACCAAATGATTAATCAAGACATATATTGTTGTTATAATTAGAGGATATTCTTAGTTTTTGTAGAGAGTTTTATTTTCCAAATGGTTGGAATATTATAATTTTTAATTTTTCCGCCCTGTCAAAGACATAACTCTGAACTGGTGGAAGTTTTGAAATGAAAGTGACCACAATTTGTGACCACGTATTGTCCATTCATTACCAATCATGTACATTATATTATGTTACTATTCATTGTCCACCAGTTTCCTTGAGATTTTAAATGAGATTCAATGAGAAATTGAGATTATTTCAAAACAGTACCAGGTCTTCTAACAGTGGATAAATATTAAATGTTTGTAATCAGTGATGTTTGGGGTTTTATGGGTTTACATTTTCTATTATGCTCACTGTATTATTGTTATATCTGTGAATTCAGAAGAAATGGTAGAAAAAAAGCTTTGTCTCTGAAGTCTGATTGTAACATGACGGTGACATGACTGTAAATCAGTGTAAAATGCTATGGCAACAGTAGTGCCTCAAAATCCGATATAGCTCATAACTTAGTTTACAAGCCAATAATTTTACCACGAGTTTTTGTTCCTACCTTCCCCTCCGAGTTTTATACAAGTTCAGTGTAGTTCAGATTCATCATCGCTTTCTTCTCTCTCTTCCTGTCTCGGCCTGTCTGTCAGGTTGGGGCAGTCAAAGCTCTAAGGTCCAGATCCATCACAACACATGGCTTCATTTCCCCGGCCACAACCTGAGGTGGATCCTCACCTTCTCTCTGCTGTTTGTCCACGTCTGCGAGTTTGCAGAGGGCATCGTCTCCAACAAGTAAGGCCCCAGAAAGACATTGTGTAAAAATACGTCATCGCACCAAACACTGCTTTTGTTTCTGTTGTCTTGAGCAAAGTTAAATAAATAAAGTCAGTGAAATTGGTGCTGTTGAAATGTAAGAGAATGAAAATATTCCTACTTTTTTTTTTTTTTTATAATGAAAATGTGCTGCCCCAATTAATGCTGCGTTCATGTGGTATTTTTTTGTTTTCGCCCCTTGCTGTAGGACGATGGGAACGAATCACCTCCATCTCTACATGCCAGCATTCATGGGTTTTGTAGCAGCAACAACATCAGTGGTTTATTACCACAACATAGAGACATCCAACTTTCCCAAACTGCTGCTTGGTAAGTCTCAACACTGAGGGCGGAGGGCTGGTTCATCTTTTATCTATCCTAGAAAAGCTGTCTGTGTACACAACTCCCAGCTTTTTAAACAGTAGCAACGCACTCCCAGAACGCTGTTTGGACTTAATGGATCTGTAGATATCATCTCTTATTCCTCACATTCTGCTTCATTGGCAAAACTCGATACCTAAATTACCCACAATGCAACTTGATTGCTGACAGGTTCCAGGTGAGTTATGACAGCAGCTAATGTAGTCTTGGCGGCCACGGGCTCAAGCAGAGGTCTGGTGACTTCTTTCTTACTCCACACACCCAGATTTTCTTTGTTTTACTTCTCAAGCTTGTGGTCTTCAGCCCCTCGAGATGCTGACTCAAGTGACATCACATGAGGCAATTTATCAGATTTCACTGAGTAAAATCAATGGAGTTGCCTTTTAATCTATAGTTGAAACAGTGACACTCAAGCAAGAAGTAAAAGTGGCCACAGAACAGCCCTCGCATCACCAGCACTATTTCAGGTGTTAAACGTATTTATATACTATTATTCTATTAAATTACACTATTATAATAACTTCTTTCCCCTCATAGTTCTTTTCATTTACTGGGTGTTGGCGTTCATCACAAAGTCCATTAAGCTTTGGAAGTACGCAGAGTACAGCGTCGGACCACAGTACCTGAGGTTCTGTATCACAGCCATGTTAGTGATCCTGTATGGACTACTAATGGCTGTGGAGATCAACGTCATACGAGTCAGGGTGAGTGACCATGTTTCATACAATATCAGTATCTAAATAACCTCTAATGTGTCATGTGTGTAGGTGAACCAGGAAGAAACCCACACACATCTGCCACTGGTGATTGGAAAAGTGTTTTGGTGGTTATGTCTCTCAATATGAGCCAAAGACATTGTTAACTGTCCATACGTTAATTCTTCTTACATCTTCTTGTGTCTCCCTGTAGAAATACGTATTCTTCGCCAATCCTCAGAAGGTGAAGCCGCCAGAAGATTTACAGGATTTGGGAGTTCGCTTCCTGCAGCCGTTTGTAAACCTGCTCTCCAAGGTAGACGCAAACACACTGTCATATTCATGGATTTTAAGCATTTTAGTTTCACGACAATTTTTGAGACCAACAGCCTCGAAGAATGTTGGTTAGAAATCAAAGTGCCTCAGCTTCAGCTCAGATTTTAATATCATTTACCAGCCAAACTTGATGTTTATGTCTGATAATAATAATTGGGTGTTACAAATTGTTGGCACATTTGTAGGCAACATATTGGTGGATGAATCCTCTCATCATGGGAGCCCATAAAAGGCCCATAGAGCTGAAGAAGATCGGCAAGCTGCCCATCGCCATGAGAGCCCTCACCAACTACCTGCGGCTCAAAGACGCCTACGAGGATCAGAGGGTGAGCAGACGGAGGCCTTTTCCTCACTTAACCCTAATGCATAATTACATACAAGAAGAAACACAAACTTCTCTCCATCATCTTTCTCTCTGCACAGACAGCGGAGGACCCGGACCGAGCGCCGTCGATCTGGCGCTCCATGTATCGAGCTTTTGGACGTCCCATCCTGCTCAGCAGCACCTTCCGTTACCTGGCGGACCTGCTGGGCTTCGCTGGGCCGCTCTGCATCTCTGGTATCGTGAAGTACCTGAAGGAGGATGGTGGCAATGCCACAGTGGACAACACCATGGAGGGTGTAAGTACTGAATGAGCCTGTGTGAGCCAGAGAGTGCGTGTGTATGTGTGAGAGAGAATCAAAAGCTGGAAGTAGATTGTGACCTACATTATGTGAACTGTACAGAGACTACCACACGTGGCTCCAGTATATGCAGTAGGGGTATATCCCTGTGAGATATAAAATTACTGCTTAGACTCGAAAACTGGTGCAGAAACCGATGGACCTGCTTCCATAAGAGTATGACGTTTGAAAAGTCTGATGATCATAGACGACAGTGTGAAGAGGTAAACGTCATCCATTTCCCTTCAGAGACATCACTCTGGTCGAGTGTTTACAGAAGATCATTTTATTAAAGGTTAAGTGCAAATTAGTGAAACATCATGGGTCGTCCTCACTTGATGAATGACTCACTCCCAGTGTGATGTTACTGAGGCGTTGGTCGCAGTCATCATGTCACCACCAGAGTGTGTGTGTGTATGTTTGTGTGTGTGTGTGTGACTGCATGTCTAAGTGTGTGAAGGAGGCTGTATCTGATGTGATAATATGTCTGTAATGTCATAATGTGCAGGTGCTGAAATGACATTACGCATGCACACAAACACACACACACTTGTAGTTTTACACATGACAACAACCTGCCTAACGGCAACCTTTACCCTAATCCTCACTGCTGTAATCCTAACTTGAACCTTAACCCTTAAATCAAGTTTTAATCCTCTGATATTTGAGGGTTTAAACCAAAATGTCCTCACTTTCTGAGAATTCGTTTAATTTCCCAAAAATGTTTTCACTTTCTAAGAATCTCCTCACTTTCCAAAAACATGATCTCAGGTCTAAACCTCATAAACAAAGCAGTCCAAGAAAACAAATGCAGGGTTTTGTAGATGTAACATCAGAAAATATGGGACAGTTTTGGATTTATATTAAGTTTGATAGTAGTGTAACGGTGTTATGTTAATCATTGTTTGCTATCATGACTTAAATCAATGCTTGTATTTTACCATCTTTTATTTTCGCAAAACACTACGAGTATTTGCAACATACTGAGCAAACAGTATATTTCGCTAAGCTTCCAAAAAAAACATGTATCTCCATATTTGGTACTTTTACTTTCCTTTATGTATTGATAAAATTCTTCCTCTATATTTTCTTCGCTTATGAAAAGTTAATGTTTTTGGAGATACATCTTTTTCACAGGACATTGATGGTGTGTAAAATGTAGAAAACATGACTATTTTTTGTCAAAGTATAAAACAACAAGTTATTGCTACAAATTAAGATCATTTTCTTTTCTTTTTTTGATTAATTATTAAATGCGTAGTGTATAATATTTCAGAAAATCTGTAATCAAATGTGAGTCATGTCTAAAAACGGCCATCACTGTTTCTCATGATGATATGATATATGATATAACACAAGAGAAAAGCAGCAAACCTCACTTCTTTGAACACGGAAAAAGCAAATGGTACTTTCAATAAAAGATAGAAATAATAATAAATTAACAAATAATTTTAGCACCACATTTAATATCTGTACAAAGTCGTCATTCCAGATTTTTCAGGATCTGCACCAGTTGTCATAAATTGATATTGTACGGACCAACCTGGTTACTACTATGATACAATAATACAAAACACTAGTATCTGCCCATGACAGAGGGTGCACCAGAGAGAGAGAACACAGACACTTGTACTGACGGTCCATCTGGCGAGAGAAGAGACGCTGGAACAGCTGATCACAAACATCGACTCGTCTTTAATCCGTGCCAGCCTCTTCCAAAGGTCGTAATGCAGATGGGGCTGGTGGGAGAGGCAGAACAGATGCTTTTATAATGACAGTGTATTTTCATTCAGTCCATTTGGCTGGATGTTGTTATAGTCGATGTTGGATGTGAGCTGTTGTCAGATCCGTGCCTGCCTGTTAAAGTGGGTGTAATGGGCAGTGGAGATAGAGCAGAGCACGGCTGCATTTCTGAGTGACATGGAAAATTCCCCACTCACCTCACACTCTGTCTCAGGTTAATACAGAGGGAAGGACTGCTGAGCATCAGGCTGAGCTTTTTGATACCACGGTGTGTTTCTCCCTGTCTGTACGTGGAAGAGAAAAGATGAGACACATCTGATGCACGTTCATGTTCCAGTGGTCAAATGATAAATCACCTCTGACCTTACTGTGTGCAACCTGCAAAGCAGAAATTAACGTATTTTTAACTTTAATGGGTTTTCTGTTTGTTCTCTTGTAGGGGACCTACTTTGGCGTCCACTTCATGTCTTCCTCTAAGCTGCTGCAGAACACCTCAGTCTTGGCCGTCCTCCTCTTCCTGGCTTTAATCCTGCAGAGGACCTTCTTACAGGCTTCCTACTATGTCACCATAGAAACTGGCATCAACCTGCGGGGAGCCCTGCTGGTGAGTGAAACATCAGCATGGAAAATTAAGTTTAGACGTTTTGTTTCCGTGCTGAGGTGTTGCTTTGAAAAGTTCTACATGAGGGATCTCTTGTCGCAGCAACTCAATAATATTCTCATACAAACATTATCCACCTGATCATTTTAAATGCTGATGGAGCAGCCAGTCAGTTCTGAACACAAACATCATGAATCTCCCTGTTCAGAGGGTAAATGTCACCAAAACAAAGGTTAAAAGTGTTTCTGCAAAATTCACTTGTGTAAACCATAAATTCAGTTAGATGAATCACTTAGAGGGATAAAGCCTTGGGCATTTAGACCATGTGACTCTAATTCTCTGTTAAACCCTGTGATACTACTGCTACTACTGAATATAGTCATGAAAACCTGTGTGTAGTGTGCTGCGTTCGAGTCAGCTCAGGTCAGATCCTCCCACTGACAACAATGTTTCACTATGATTATATTTTAACCCAAACACAGCAGACAGGTAACACAAGCTGACTTATATGTGCACTCTTCTTTGATTATTCTTTGATTAGACAGATTTAAATTATAATTTCATTTTAATTTCAGGATGTATTTTACTGCCATGTTAACATGAAGTGTGATTATATTGTGTTGTCATATCTGTTTCATTGTTCAGGCGATGATTTACAATAAGATCCTGCGTCTGTCCACCTCCAACATGTCAATGGGGGAGATGACTCTGGGGCAGATCAACAACCTGGTCGCCATAGAGACCAACCAGCTGATGTGGTTCCTCTTCCTCTGTCCCAACCTGTGGGCCATGCCGGTGCAGGTAGGTGCACCTCCATACATCACTGGCTACACTGCATGTCAGTGTCACAAATACATATGCATAATTTCTTTTTCTGTGATTTAGTGATGATTTTCTTTGCAGATTGTGATGGGAGTGATCCTGCTGTACTATTTACTGGGCTGGAGCGCCCTGGTTGGAGCATCTGTCATCGTCCTGCTGGCTCCGCTCCAGTACCTAATAGCTACAAAGCTGGCTGACACACAAAAAATCACACTAGTAGGAGCTGTACTAATGTTGTTTTACATCTTTTGGTAACTTTCTTGTCTTGTAATGTTGGTACAGATTAACACATCATCTTTATCTCCTGTTGTCTCCTTCAGGAACACTCCACAGATCGTCTGAAGAAGACCACAGAGATCTTAAAGGGCATAAAGCTGCTGAAGCTGTACGCCTGGGAGAACATCTTCTGTGACAGCGTGGAGGAGACCAGAAGCAAAGAGCTCACCAGCCTCAAGACCTTCGCGTTCTACACGTCTTTGTCAAGTAAGATGAAAACAACATCGAAAACAGGAGTTTGAATTATGTTACTTGCAGAAGACAAACTCAGCACTTTTAGACAGAAATAACTGATCATTGAAGTATAAGTTTGCTTCAAATTATGTTAAAAATCATGTTAAAATCAAGTGAAATTAGCTGTTGACTTCCTGTCCAGTTGTTACACTTGTGAAACTTCAACATTTAATTCAGCTAAATCACATTCCGGCTAATCTTACTGCATTAAAACCTCTCTCTCTCTCTCTCTCTCTCTCTCTCTCTCTCTCTCTCTCTCTCTCTCTCTCTCTCTGTGAAGTTTTTATGAATGCTGCTATTCCCATTGCTGCCGTTCTTGCGGTAAGTCAATTTTGCCACTGTAGAAGGAAAACATTTATATTCATGATTCTGTGTTACTGATCATGACAGAGATATGGTAAAAACTTAAATCCTGTCTCGTAGACGTTCGTGATGCATCACTTCATCAATAAAACCGGTCCCACTCCCTCTGAGGCCTTCGCAGCTCTGGCCTTGTTCCACATCCTGGTCACCCCTCTCTTCCTGCTCTCCACTGTGGTCAGGTTTGCTGTGAAGGCTCTGGTCAGGTGAGTGTGAGAACTACTGTGCTTTATGTTGCATTTGTTCCTATTGTAAAGAGATTGAATCTTACTGCAGAGGCTGTATAGACTGACTGAGAGGGGGGTTGTGGACTTGACTAACTAAGGAAGACAAACTGGAGATGCTGTGTCACAAACTGGATGAGGTTCTGTCCTAAATTTAATTAAAGGAACATGGAAGAAACTTGACAGCAGCGAAGAGAAACTCTAACCTCCTGAGAGATTACTGGTATTGGTATCGTCACAATTACACTTATTCTTGGACTGTCTGCGTGTGTGTGTTTGTGTGTGTGTGTGTTACAGTGTCCAGAAGCTCGGAGAGTTTCTTCAGAGTGACGAAATTGGAGACGACAGCTGGAGAAATGGAGACATATCTGTTTCCTTGGAAGCTGGAAAAAAACACCTTGGGGCGGTGAGTCCATCTGATACCAGATCAATAAAAAAAAAAAAAAAGAAAAGATAAATGATAACGATAAATTCGGCAAATGGCACATCAATTTTCATTTTATAACTAAATTGGGCCTGGAAAGTCCTGTCAAGCCGTGGGAGTTATCTGCTGATATCTGCAGAAACAGCAACAATTTTAGACACAGCAGTAAAGCACTTATTATGTTCTTTAGATAGATGACAGACCAGGTGGTTGGTCCAAATTAAGGTGAGCCCACCTGCACCTTCACCTTCTGATTGCATTGTTAAAATATGTAAATGTAAATTTAGTTCATTTCCAATTCTAAGTAATGTTTTAGACAAATTGGTTAAACTTGTGACTTTTTCAGAGAATGTTGAATCATACATGTCACTTTTCTGAAAGGAAAAGTATCTCTGCAACTAACTTGTTGATTATAATGTAGCTGATATAATCAAACTTTCCTTCAAAAAGCAGCCGACATGTTGAACTGTTGAACATAACGTCGATGCTTGAACCTGCTGCAGAGCTGTTTCTCCCTGTCGTCAGTTTAAGTCTGAAGCACATGCAGTTTACAGACGTCACGTTAAACGACACTTCTGGCTAATGAAGACCTTCAAACTGTAAAAAATCCAAACATTTATCCTGTATTTAAAACAGATGGTGTTAACAAAGCACGCTGAGGGTGCCAAGAAATCGCTTTAAGGTGCTGAGTTTAACAGCCAGTTTCCCTGGGACAGGGTTTAGATCAGTTGCACTTTGCACATTCCTTCCATGTTACTCCAGGTAACTCATGTCGTTTCCATTGTGGCGACAGGTTGCTTTAATAGGGTGTTTAGGGACAGGTTTTCGACAGGGAAATGCCGTGACGCACTGTGAAAAGCAGCAGAGCATCGAAACAAGAAAAAGGAAACCCTTCAGCATTATTAAAAAAATCTATAGAACTGCTTATCTAAGATTTAAGCCATAAAAACATCCAACTTTTGATAGAAAATTGGTGTTTTGGTGGCACAGTGAAGACAGAGAGACATAAATAACAGATAAAACTTTCTTTAAACAAATGTTTTAAGCTTTACAAGAATAAAAAATGTACAAGTTGAGAAAACATCCAACTCCTTTAGTTCAAAATAGATGCGGACTAAAACCTCCTCATGCAGATGTTTGCAACAGTCAAAGCATTCAAATGTTCAAATGTCAGTAAATTTCACAGGAATTTTTGCAGGGTGTTCTGTGATTGGATCGCCACCCAGTGAACTGCAGCCCAAACTCTAATCCGGTGTCTGTCTGTGGTTTCAGGCAACTGAGTCACATGGTGACTATTATGTTGCAGTGGGATTATCACTGTTTATGTCTGAAATGGACAGTCGGACCACAGAGCAGAGTGACTCTTGAGAAGCATAATGGTTTTCAAATAGGATTGAGAAGCATTAAGTCCAAACACAACATATCATTGTTTATAATGGAATATCATTAGAAAAATTATTCAGTAACTGATTTCAACTGTATTGTTATCCAGGCAATATAAAACAAACAATAATAGTTTTTCATTATCGATATTATACTGCTCCACTTACCTTGAAAGCCCCATTTGCAGCTGTTTTAAGCAGCTGCATTAGCTCCCGTTCATGAAGCCATTACAAACTCAAAGTTGTAATTGCGTAGCTGGAAAATTTGAGCTAAGATAAGCAGCTAAGTGGCTACTGCTATGGTGCGGACTGCACTTTCCCTTGGATGGTTAAATCAATCAAACAGTGAAGAAAGTAACGTGTCATCTCTTTTTTTCTATAACCTGATGTATCACTACTTGTTCCAACTACCTAGTCCATCCATTTAGAAGTGTAAATGTAACAGCACTTCTTTTCTGTACGCTGGAGTTTTCCAAAGATACTGCTCTTAATAACATTGTGTAATAAACAGCAAATGTCTTGGACTTCCACACTGCAGGCTGGAGCACTGTATGTGCTTGATAGCTTCCCCCTAGTTTCCCTATGGACATTAATGGAATGGATTAATGGATTTTAATGATATTGTTATAGATATTCGAGGTCCTTAGGGGGTGAACCCTGATGTCTTCAGTGGCCCCCTGATCTTTTCTTCAATCAATTCATCAATTCTTGATGTTGGTGCAAATATCTATAATGTTGAGGGACTGAGGACTTCACTTGAACTTGTACAGTATAGTTTATATGTATAGTGTTTCTGGATAATAAGAGCAGGATAATGTGGTAGCAGTGGGATTGAGTCCTTTGGGGCAACATCCTGAAGGTCTATATCGGGGGGGGGGGGGGGGGGCCCCCCCCCCCCGCACTTCTTCTTCTCCCCAAGGAACTGAAGCGGATGCAGGAAAGTCTTCCGTTTATTAGTTAATACTAACTTCAAATCTCTCCTTTTTGTCCCCCCTCACTCCCATCCCTCCCCTCGTCCTTTTGATATCCCCCTCAAGACCAAAGCCATCAACAGGAAGCAGCCAATGCGCTACCAGATGGACAACTACGAGCAGCCGACCAGGCGTCAGATGAGACCCACGGAGACGGAGGATGTGGCTGTAAAGGTCAGGGTCAAAGTTCACACATTGAGGAATGACTGGTGAGGACAGAAAAATAGTATGAAGTCTCACAGACGACAAAGACATAACTACCAGTGTTAATGGTTTAGAAGGTTTTGGATCTTGTGAAGGATCCAGCAAAAAGTGTCCGTGGACTCGCCCCAGCAGTGACTGTGGTCATGTCAGTAGCAGTGGAGAAGGATTAGGAAGGAACAGATTTAATGACCTTACAGGAGAAAGTCTGTTTCTTTATTCTGAGTTTTTCAAGTTTTAGAAGTGCTGTAAATCAGTTGGTTGTAGGTGTCAGAGGCAGAACCAGCTCTATAAAACTAGTCGAAAACTTTGTGTTGATGTCAGACTGACTGAAGTTCAAGAGGCTTTTCTGTGCGAGACACTGAGGTGTTTAAAGGCTGCACATTCAGGAGCAATGAACTCAGCTTTCCAGACGCTTGCTTGGCCAGTCTCCTCTTGGTGATAAAGTATAAGGACACCGTAGGGGATAGATAAGTTTAGTTACAGAGGAGTGGGATACCATTTGGATGGAGATGTTGAGAGGAGTGATCAACAGAAATACATTATTTTGAAGAAGAAAATAACAGAAGATATAAATGAGACTCATCATTTGTTACTGATTTTAGATAAAGAAAACCCATAGTTAATGTTCCACTGATAGCTGTAGTTTATGATAAACTATGTAAGAGAATTAATGTAAAATTACTCATTTATTTTTGCACCACCGTCCCTCAAATTATATAAAAAACCCAAACCACACTGTGGTTGCATTTCAAGTTGTATTTTTAAACCCAATATTCACCCAGATTTTTACATGGGGGCGGCTGTGGCCCAGGAGGGTCGTCTACTAATCAGTAGGTTGGTGGTTCGATCCCTGGCTCCTCCACCGCGCCTTGGGCAAGATACTGAGATACTGATACCCCAGATTGCCTCTGATGGCTGTTCCATCAGTGTATGAATGTGTGAGTGTGTGTGGGTAAAGTGAAAAGTGCATATAAGTGCAGTCCATTTCCATGTAATAGGTAATCTAATATGAGTTGCTGCTACTTTTATGTTCTTTTGTTGACAGTTAAAAACAAAGTGTGCACTTGACAAACTGCACACCTAGAGGGTGGACAATATAATCAAAACACCATTTATTATTAATGATATTAGCTACCAGGAAACAGGCCAAGTCATGCTGGCAAGAGAATGAGTTTATCTGTTATATGTCAGCTTTAAAAAATGTCTGACAGCTGCTTTTTCAGATGTGTTTTGAATGAGAGGTAATAAGAGATTAACAAACTAAAGTCTTATTAAACATTTTGGATCTTGACTGAAATGACGGTGCAGAGAATATACAGATATTTCTGTATCTACTATGGTCATTAACATTCACACATACAAGCTGCTCACTATTATTTTAATTATTCACTTATCTCTATCAACAGCTGTTGCATATCTTCAGTGTTTGTACTGTACATCTGCGGGTCTTTTGCTGGTGTCTGCGATCGTACATGTGACGCGTGTTTACGCGTGTGTGTATCTGTGGATGTGTACGTGGACTCAGGAAGTGTAGGATTCACACGAGAATCCATTGCCCCTGAAAGGGCCTTGTGAATTTGTCCAACATTTTCTCAGCCCCTCTGCGAGGGAAGGCAGCTCTTCCTGTCTCATCCCTGTGGAGTGACGCTACCGAGCGGACGTCGGACCGTTAATTAACGAGAGAGAGAGAGAGAGAGAGAGAGAGCACAGGGGAATACACTGTGAGTTTTCTCTGTAGGTCCTCATCAGTTAATCAAAATAAGTATTCAATAAGAAAATCACCTCTCTTGTACATTACATGGCCATATGTATATGGACACCCTGAGTTGAACAAAATGACAGGCATTAATATGCTGCTGTAACAGCCTCCGCTCTTCTGGGACAGCCTTTGGTTCATCCCAAAGGTGCTGGATGGGGTTGAGGTCAGGGTCGTGTTGAGGCTGGTCAAGTTCTTATTGAGCTAGTTTTGTGCAGGGGGCCAAAAATAGACTAGGGCCACAAACGGTGGAAGAACACTATTGTCTAAAATAAGTCTGCTGTAGCAGTAAGATTTCCCTCTAAGGGGTTTAACGCGGACCAGGAAGAACAGTCCCAGACCAAAAGTATGTCAACAGTTGAGACCACATAATGTACTTTTTTTGCCACATAGTTTTGCAACCTTTTCTAATGTCATGTAAGTTCAGGGACCTAAATATCTCCCAACATGCATCTGTGTGATGTCTTGCATTCCAACACAGGTTTAGATAAGGGTCCATTTTATGTGTTACATCCCAAATGCATCAATGTTTGAATTCACGCTGTGGTGCAAAAGTTGTGCAACTTCAGACACACTGAATGAGATGTCCTTAGGTACAGACATAGCATTGATTATTGATAATACTGAGGATTTTGTGATTCACGGTTGTTACCATAAAACCAGCAAGTCTTGAATTGATCTTCTATCCTGTGTCACATAAACAGTAGCTTATAAGCACAACTGTTCGGGACCACTTCCTCTGGCTTCCTGCCTGGTGGATTGAATAATCTTTCAGTGACCCCACATTTCCTTATTTTCTTGTTTCACTCAGTCTCCCTCTCTCCTCCCCCGCTGTCCTTCTTTTTGATTTTATCTAATCTCTTTTCCTTTTTTTTTTTTTTTTTTTTTTTTTTTTTTTTTACTTCATCCTCCCTTAGAAAAGTTTTGTCTCAGTAGCTACAAAATCAATTTGTTATTTCTAATATTTGTTTTCCTGATGGGCAGATTTCAGTGTGATGTTTTTTTTTTTATCAGTAAATATAAGACAATCAGATAAAATAACCATCAAATCAATACTGTAATATTAATATCAGATGTCTGTTTTCAGAGATTTTCTAAATTTTAAGTTATGTTTGAAACATCTGACGAGATACTTGAGCAGTTTTAATCTTGTGTCACCATCCTCCCCGATGGTCCAAATCTCTAAAAACTGAACAGATAAATACGTTTTAAGTGAGCTCCTCTTAGATATTTGCTTACAAAGATGTTCCTGTCCGTGGATGTCTTTTGGGATCTGTGTCATGGGGAGAAGGGAAACAGTGGAGTCAAGGCCGGGGGGGTGGGAGGTGGGGGGGTGGGGGTTGTCAGATAAAATAAACATGAAATAAACAAATAAATGCAACAGATGGGAGGAATGTAAACAGAGTCCTAGCAGGAAGCAGGGTGATAGATCACTTGATGGGGTCTAGATATGAAGTTTTTGGGACATTAATTGTAGAAAATACTCATTTGGCTGGTTCACACAACTGTAATTTATTCATGTTTATCATATATGTTGCACGTATGTTGAGGGTGCTGGAATTTTGCGATCTTACTTTGCAGCCATCTGCTAAAGGAACTCACCAAAAAATAGGCCACAACAACTTTTATTTGCACCAACAATGGAGGCTAAAGATTTACATTTATTGTCACTGAGTACTGTTTTTTTTATTTAGATTTTTATTGGGAACAAAAGACTTAAAATAAATGCATACTTATACACTCAGGTTAACCCATCTGCACACAAATAAAAATAAAAATCAAATTAAAGTTAAAGAAAGAAACGGAAATGAACTATTACTATTACTGTTTCCTATTAGAAAATTAAATATGGCATGAAAATCCCAGGTTGTTGTCCATGATTAAGACAAAATCTTTATTTAGAATAGTCGTCATGATTTTACATTTGAGAAAAAGTTGGCAGAAATATCAGATCTGATGTTGATGGTCATTAATCAAAGTGTAGTTGCTGTCAAACGAGATAACAAAGTTGATTCATTCCTTCCTTTCGTTGACTTGTTTTATTGATCTGACAGCAGTTTGAAGGCAGAGTTTTACTTCAAAAAGTCGAAGTAAACTTAAACTTTAGATCCCCGACATTTTAAAAATGTTTTTGATGGACAGACATGATTATTCAAAACAGAGTGTTTTTGTTTGAAAATCGAAATTTGGAAATGTACATTTACATTCAATCTACAGTGGTGACATTAAGCCTTCACATTCTCTTTGATGTCATTGTTTTGAACTTTAACACATTTTAAATTAAGAAAAAGCACAGTGAACTCTCCAAACCTGAGAAACTCATGACAGGGTGACATTGGGTTTGGAGTCCCTCATACCATGAGCACAGTGTGTGTTCCTGCTTGTGTAATGCAGTTATCTCAGCAGTGTTTACTGCAGTGAACTCACTGTTAGGGTTTCTTAAACTCTGGGTCAGGACATAAAATGGGTCATGTGCTTTACTCTGGTGGGTCCACGCATCACAAGGGAACAGCACGTAGTCGGTCATATGTTGCATAATCTGCAACATTAGGTGTAATACTTTTTGTACTATTCAGTTTAAGATTAAATAAATTAAATTATAGATAAATAAATACATTAAATTCATGGCAAAGCCTCTGCGCTTTAGCAAGACATTCCTCTTCATCCCTCTGTTTCTTTTCTTTTTTTTCTCAGGTGAGTAATGGATTCTTCACCTGGGGAAGCAACCTGTCCACGTTGTCGGACATCAACATCCGCATCCCGACAGGTAGGACCAACCCATCCACCACACGATGATACACTTACAGCCAAGCTTGCATTCACAATTTCATCAGAATTAAATAAAACAAAAAAAACAAAACAATAAGAACACCAGGAGATCCTGAGAATTTGATATAAATAAATATAAATAATGACTTAATGCAGCCTAGAAAAAAAATAGTGAAAACTTTCTGTTGCTAATGTGAATTGCCTGTTAAAGCAGATGTTGGTAACCGAGACACAGTCAATTTCCCGTCTTTGTCCTAGTCTCTAGTCCAACACAGTCAGATTGACTATGATTTATGACTATGTGATGCCTTTAATGCCAATGCCGTCTGTATCTAGCATATCTTTTAAATACAGTCCCATACAACAGTCAGTTAGCACAAGCGTGACAAAACAACCCGGTCTGAGGTTGTATACTGGAGAAAAACTCTGATGTAATGTTAAAAACTTAATGAAAATAGCGTTGTGTTAGGGTAAAGTCAATAGTTGGATTAGAACATAATCACCGCTTCAATTCCCAACAGGAACTGATGTTGCTGTTTGCTCAGACAGCTGAGTGTTGTAATTTTAGAAGCACAATCATCCGTTCTCCTCTGGTGTTGCCCAAACGTTAAGGACCTTCAGTGTGGCTGCCAGAGTGTGTGTCATGTCACAGGAAAGTCCTCCGTATAATGTTTTTGATTGGAGTGTTATCTCTTTATCAAAGTATTCCTGCTGCTCATGAATCTGTGGCTACACCCTCTTTTATTGTTTCTTATTTCAGTTTTGAAAACTAGTTCTTCTAAGTTATAAGTCGCTGTAGATTTGGGGGTAATGTCCTTTATTCAGTCTCTAGTCTGTCAGCGGGTTAGAAGCTTAAATTCATCACACTGTGAGAACGCTGTGATAAAAATGTGAATGAAACATGCAGACGTGCTGTCGGGGAAGTACACTATAACTTACACTAATGCTGCAGGCATGTCACTGAAATACCAAGTGTCAGGAGACTAGGTCATTTTCAGGAGGCTGCCAACAGATGGACCGTGTAGTATATCACACACACGCACACTTGTATCTTCCCCTGGGAAGTGACTTGCTTGCTATCCCTACTACTGAGACAAACAGGAATTGCTTGTTCTGCCAAGTGCTGGTGTAATTTAGTGTGTGTGTGTGTGTTTTTTGTACTTCTATCTTTGTGCGAATCTAGTTGAATGTTTTTTTTAAAGTGAGGACATTTAGGCTGCTCTTTACTTCCTTGAGTTGAGTTTCTATTTTAGCATTAGAACTTGGGTTTGGAATAAAGTCAGACTTGGAGTAAGGGTTAGGTTTGGGCATGCAGCGCTGATGGTTAAATTTTAAGGGGATAATTAATGAATGAAGTCATTGGATGGATAGAATCTCAAGCTGGCAGTTTATTAGGAACACCTAGATAAATCCAATGCAGTCTAATACAACAGTCCTGCAGTAAATCCTCTTTCATTAGGGTTCTAATGTTCAGTTTGAGTTGGCGGTATTTCAGAGTGTATAGGTTTTTAAGAACCAACAGCTTGTGTGTCCATGTGAAGAGGAAAAAGGTTTTAAGTTTATTCATCTCATACTTGTATTTTTTATCAGCGAGGTTAAGTTTAGGGTTAAGGTTATCGGTTGTATTCTTGTAGCCGGGGGTGACTCAGCCTTTTCCGACCTCTGACCCCTCTTTTAGGTCTCAAAATTCTCACGACCTCGCCTGCATTTGTTAAGTGAATTTGAACACACCATTGCTGCGTATTGTGTTTTTGAAAGCATGCGCGGAAGTATGTACAAATGGCGATATAATTTCAGTTGAGAATAAAGTAAAAATAAACGAATTATCCTCCTCCAAACTTTTCTGTTTGTTCAGGTCAGCTGACAATGATTGTGGGCCAGGTGGGTTGTGGGAAATCTTCCTTGCTGCTGGCCATGCTCGGTGAGATGCAGACTATCGACGGAAGAGTCTATTGGAGCAAGTAAGACATCACAACAACACTGTACAGACAATTTCACTGGTGTTATTCAAAGCCTGTTGATGAAACTGGAATGGAAGATCATGAATGTGGTATAGCAGTAGCAATTTTAAAAGTTATCTTCAAACATACTTTATTTCTACTGAGGCCTGTAGCTGTTTTAAAGCTACTCAGTCTCTTCATTACTGTGTGATATTGGCCACAATCCTTTTTATTTTTCAATACAGAGATACAATTATGACGTATCCTGCTCAGTATTCTGTGTTTGAGTGATCTTTACTTAGCTTTTATTTTCTTTTTCTGTCTATCAAATGATACTACCATCAGTCTACCATATATTTACAGGTCCATGCAAACTAAACTCTTATTTTAGATGTAAATAAAAATAGAATAGGGTGTACATTTTTATTTTGTTTATTTTTTTACGTTTGTATTTACAAGAACACATGTAGTCACATTGTACACGTTATCACATCACACCTCGGATTTACTCTCTCAGTAAATCCTTTATATTGAAGTGTTGAAATAACTATATAATAATAATACATTTATATTATTAAATGTTATCTTGTTTGTGCTCAGAATGAAGGAGAAATAGAAGAAAAAATAATCCGTCCATTAGCATCAGGTGTCCAGTTTTCAGTGTGATTTCATTTTCTACTCTGATGGTTTAATGAAATTAAATGTTTGGGTTATTGAATCCATCAACTTCGAAAAAGGTTTTTATTTATTAAATAAATGAGGGAAAACTCATTTTGAAGGAATTTTAACGTAACTGCTGTTCAATAGCTAACGCGTGGGGATATTAAATTATACTAAAGAGGCTTTTATTATGAAATTAACGTATCAGTGTCGTTATCATCATTCATGTCATTATCTCACTATTTGTTTGTCTGTTTCTATTGCAACAGACAAATTTTCTGTTTAAATAACCTACAATCTCACCAAAAATCACAAAATGACTAAATGTTTGTTAAAGTCACTGAATCAAAACTCTGATACGATCATATTATCACAGTGACTCACCCTGAAAGAAATCTGATCTTGATATTAATGAGTGGTCTAAAAGTACTGCTACTATCAGTCTTCATTGGATTTTATTGCATTTACATGCATTTAATTAGCCTGAAATTAAATCCCACTTATTAGAAGACATTTATTCACTATGATATTGATTGGTTCTCCAGGACAAACCAAATGTTATCGGATGCACCCTTGCAGTGACACAGCCAAAACAGGAAACTGTCAGTGAACTACAATTATTACAGTGTCGGAAAACACTGTAATCGCACAATTTTAGCTCATTTCTGGGATCTAACAAAGGAAAACACTGTTTGTTCACACACGGACACTCAAGTGATTTGTCAGATTCAATGCTAAAATTAGCTGCTACATCCTAATCTAATATTTCGTCAGTGAATTGTTAGCAGAGACTTGCTTTTCAATTTGCTGAGTGCCTGAAAACTAATCTGAATATTTTGAGGATTGAGAATTTGGCACTGTAAAGGTGTTTTGGGGGTGTAAGCTGCCATTTTGTCTTGAAATAGTTTTAGAAACCTCTCAGCTCTCACAGGAAATCTGGAATTCGCTCCAGCGTTTCTCCATATTCAGATTAAACAAAAAAAATGAGATTGTAAACGTCAAGATTCATATCGAAATCATATGAGAATCTGTGGCCAGCAGGGCTGCACACTAACCTTTGCGGTGTGTCTGTGTCTGTGTCTGTGTGTGTGTGTGTGTGTGTGTGTGTGCACACCTGTGCCTCTGTTCATGTGACTGCATGTATACATGGATGTGTGTGTGAATGTGTGTGTGTCTGGTCTCTTTACCTCCTGCACTCTTGCCACATCAGACTGCCTGATTGTGAGATGATCCACGAGGGGAACATAAGGTACTTTGTCTCTGAACTCTTCTTTCTAAAACATAATCATTTACACAGACTCTAAACATTCACATGTAGGCTTTAGCAGTTTATCTGACTTATCTTACCCAGAGTTGTTTATATAGAGTTTAATTACTTTAAGCTGCCAACAGTGAAGTGCAGAAATAAACCCTGAGAGAGATGAAAAGGGGCAGTCTTAGGGCAGACTGGGCGCTACAGTGACTCGGTATCAGAAAGTGACTAAATGAGCCGGAGCTAGCTGGGTAGCATGCTAACTTCAGTAGAAGAAATGAAGGGATAAAAATAGAAGCAAAACAAGAGGTTGCTTTCCACCACTGGACACAGCTCTTGGTGAGTAAAAGAATGAGGTTTGATGCTGAACTCACAACGTTTTTCTAGACTGGTAAGTAAGCAGCTGTTAATGCTAACGCTAGCTGTGTAGCAATAGCAAAAACTTACAAATCGCTCCTTTATTCATCTTCTCATTCCTCATGAAGATCATAAAGATAATTCTGACTTTACAGCTGTTTGCTCTAAATCTTGTTTCTTGTATAGGGCCACATAAACTCCTACTGGATATATATAATCCTTTAACCCTGGGCATCAGTATCACACACACACACACACACACACACACACACACACACACACACACACACCCTCGTGCTCATAAGACATGAGACATCATTGTCAAAGAAGCCACAAAACCTAATTATCGCAGACAGACAATGACTGCATCACTTACATGGCTCTTCTTCTCTGGGTGGGAAGGTTAATGTGATTAACAGTTGGCAGGCTAACATCATGTCTTCATTGTCTGGGCTCTGGCATGAAAACACTTCTGTCTCTTCCTCTCTTTTTCTTTTTATGGTTCTTCATTCCCTGTCTTTCTTCCACTTTCTTCTGTTTCCTGTTTCCATGTTCCCTGTGTGTCTCCCTCAGCAGAAAAGAATTGTGTTGTTGCTCGTAGCTTTTCTCTCTCTCTCTCTCTCTCTCTCTCTCTCTCTCTCTCTCTCTCTCTCTCTCTCTTTGACCTTTTGCCTTCCTGTCTCTTATTACAAATGTAACACACAACCACAAATATACAAACATCTGATTGCAGTAGACCCACTCTAACACACTGACGTGATTTTGACAGTTGGTCAGAGACAGAGGAGTCTGACGAAGACATCGGGAGGTATATGCTCTTCTTCCTGTCTCCTACTTCCTGCTTCAGATCTGAAGTGACCCTTTGACCCCCTCATCCGCCTCTCCTCCTCGCCTTCTCTTGCTCTCATCTTTTTTCACTCCATTTTTCCCTCAGAAGAAAGTACTGTTTTACAATATACTCAAAAGGATTTCTTCCAGTTACTCGGGCTGCATTGTTCTTGAACACATACATATAATCTGCATCTGTTGTTGTTAGTTTATTAATTATTTCTGTTTAGATGATAATACAAAATAGAAATGTAATATATTCTAATATACTGCAGCTTTCATACACAAAGGGCAACTCAACATGCTTTACAAAACAAAAAAGAAAAGAGCAGAAAAATTAAACAAAAGTTAAAACAGTAAAAATATTTCAAAATAAGAGGGACGCAAAAGAAGAAACAGTACAAAAAAGTTGTTTTGTTTTTAGTTTATACAGTATATTTGTGTATCTGTGTTTATTTCTACAACACTGTTCAGATTCACATTTATACCTTGAAGCTGCAAAGTTCAACTAGTACAAAGTTATTGTTTTAGGGGCTTGGTTTTTTAAAGATCTCCCATTCAGAGTTCCTGTTTCTATAAGTCTTTCTGCCGAAGCAACATGTTAATATGTATGTGTTCAGAAACAACGTCATCGGCCTTCAGATCGTACTATCTTCTGCTCATTGTGTTGAGATGATCATTTGTTTTGATCCTGGAGTGGTTTGTGCTTTTTATGCTGGGAGTCGAACAAAGAAACAAACTCAAACATGCTCTGATGATATAGATTTTTTATTTATTTATGCACACTATGTATCTCTGTACATGGTCACATTGGCAGATTTAGCACTCTTTGTATTATTTACAGCTTTATAAAAAAAAATTATGTAATAATACATAAATCAAGAGAATGTATACATTTCTCTTCCATGTCTGCATATGTGATATTTGTGAAAATATAGTTTTTAAAAAGTGTTCATGTATTCTATGCTCTACATCCACACATTCACATTACCTTGTATGTTCGTAGTAGTTAGCTCAAATCCTTTTATAATAATGTCAACAAGTTGTATGACGTGTTTCATCTCAAAGTGACAAAGGATCAGACAAGAAATTCTGGATTAAACCTGATAGAGACAAAATCTTCCAAACTGTCAGTATCAAACTAGTTTTTGAGGGGAGGAGCTAAAAACTCTCAGAAGGGCTGTTCTCAGATCAGGCTCCCAGCAGCGTGCTACAGTTGTTGTTGTTGTTGTTGTTGATGTTTTTATTTGTGTTTGTGTTGCTGTAGCTGGTGTTATTGTTGGTGCTGTTGTTGATGATTTGCAGCTCATCCTTAACCTTGATCCATGATCCATATTTATCTCCCATATCTGACAAAGTATTTTTCATTTTGCTGTGTGGAGTTTGACAGCTTTTTTTTGGGGGGGGGGGGGGATTTTTGGGTGCCGCTTTCATAAAGCTGATTGGAACAGGAGAATTGATCTGATAGTAGCTTTGGCTCAATGTTCAGCAAGAAACTCAGGACTCCTTAAATATTTAGGGATGCAGATGAATTGTGGAAATGCTAAAACATAAAATAGATGTGATGAAAAAGTATTAAAACCTGCATAAAGAGCACACAGATGTAGCATCTAAAAACTGCTCGGAGTGCTCTCAGAGAGCTTAGACGTTCAACAGGGCCAGCGTCAAACAACATACAACAGACTTCACAGGAAAAAAAAAATCTAATTCATAGTCAATGACCCGCATCTGCCCCAAAATTGAACGGGTTCCTCCCTGGCTCATGACCCATCCCTCCACCAAGTTCGGTGTAAATCAGTTCAGTACTTTTTGTGTAATCCTGCTGAAAAACAAACAGACATGGATAACAACATTACTTCCTTGGTGGACTGAATATAGACCACCTGTTTAACAACATATACAGTATGTGGTGGTAGAAAGTTTTTGGTCTTGAAAGTACAAATCTTCAATCTCATTCACATTTACATTTTGATGTGTTTAATTGAAGTGTATCTTTCTCCATACAGTCACACCAGTTGTGTCTTAAGGCATCTCCAGCATCGCAATATCTTTATCTCTTTTCTAATCTTGTTATCCCACTTAAAAGTCATTTAATGAACCCCCGCTTAGGTAGACCTAATCAAAAAATCTGATCATGCTGATGATATATTTGTGTAATTATTTTATATAATTATAGAAATATATGTTGTAATGTCTAGTTTAAAAAAAGGGAACATTAAACCTGTGAAAATTTAAATTTAAGGATTCTTCAAAAATTCAGTTGTTAAGCTTTTGCCACAAGACAAAGTAAGTATCAGTGTCAGGAATCAACGGTAGATACGGTGAAGAGAACGGTGTAGATCAGTACTCCTGCTCTGTAGCTTTATGAAGACAGGACTTGTAGTTCTTACGTGGTATCTGTTTGCCTCTGTTTCCCATAATGCATCCAGCAAGAACAGATACTCCGTGGCCTACGCTACCCAGAAGTCCTGGCTGCTCAACGCTACAGTGGAGGAAAACATCACGTTCGGCAGCCCCTTCAGTAAACAGAGGTAAAAAAAAAAAACAGCACACAGCTACAGCTAATTTCAGAAATGCCTCAATATTCATGTCAGTGCTTCGTGATTCTTCTGAGATCATGGTGGTTATTTTGTGTTTCCAAGGTACAAAGCCGTGATTGACGCCTGCTCTCTGCAGCCAGACATTGACCTGTTGCCCTTTGGAGACCAAACCGAGATTGGAGAGAGGGTATACAAGTGAACGTCTGAATATTATATTAGAACAAACACTTATGATCTTTTATTGAGATTTTTTTTTTTTTTTAAATAATTTTTGGTTCTGTCCTGGTATTTTTTTCTCTCTACATTATGGTTGTTTAGGGCATCAACCTGAGTGGAGGTCAGAGACAGAGAATCTGTGTGGCCAGAGCTCTCTACCAGAACACCAACATCGTCTTCTTGGTGAGCTAAACTTCATTACACTCACGGCACATCCAGTAGACAGGCTGGGATGCATCCTCACTGATGTATCCGGGGGTCCTCGGGTGTCTCCCTGGGAGAACAACTTTATTATTTTGTCACTACCATGATCATGATGTCTGGCCAAAGTGTCATTGAGGCGATGTGCTCAGGAAACTTTTAACTGCTTGTGTCGCAGATCTTGGCTGTGAGGTGTGTCTCTCTCCGGACCTTTTAAAAATGTACAAAAGATTTGAGATAATGTTTCTCTCTAATGCTTTTACAACAACTCACATTATGTTTTTTGAATTAGATAAATGTCCACACTGTCCTTACTGGACTGGATACATGTGGTACACGTTGGCCGTTGGGATGAGGAGGTGTCTGTTTCTTACTCACTTCTCTTTCCACTGTGATGTCATGTGTTTATCTTTCTGAGTGGTTGCGTAATTTCCTGTTGCCCTCACACGTTTTAATTGGTTGTCCATCAGTGGCATTCTTTTACACACTCATCACACTGTGTAATGTCTAGACTGGTAAAAAGTTTAATGTAAAATAAGGAGGGAATGTTTTCTTTTGTGAAAGTGCAGCTGCTTGTGTTTTCCATATGTGATCTCCAGACCGGAGTACATACGTCATACACTGTCATCAAATAATCATAACACAATCTCCATTAACACTCTATACAACACACAGATGACAGATTTATCCATCTGTCTGAATCCTACAGGATTTTCTCTTTGCTTCTCTAGAAAACGTAACGAGCTTCACTGTCAGGATCACACCTCACTAAATGATGTGATAGTCCAAAAATGTGTCTAATTTACTTTGGATTGAAACCGGTATAATTACACACATTGGTACATCACTATTTTAGACACCTGCTCTAAAACTCTCTCCTGATTTCTTTATATCCGTCTCTCTCTCTCTCTCGTATCCGACAGGACGATCCGTTCTCTGCGTTGGACATCCACCTCAGCGATCACCTGATGCAGGAAGGAATCCTCAAGTTTCTGCAGGACGATAAACGGACTGTGGTCCTGGTCACCCATAAACTGCAGTACCTGATCCACGCAGACTGGGTAAGAGCCTCAGACTGATGTGACGGTTCCTAAAGTTAGTAGTCAGTCCGTGACCATCTATCGCGTGTTATTTTAATGTTCTCTGTGTGTTTGTGTTGTTGTCTGTGTCTTGCCCAGATCATAGCCATGAAAGACGGCTCCATCCTGAGGGAGGGAACGCTGAAAGACATTCAGACTCATGACGTTGAGCTTTATGATCACTGGAAAACCCTGATGAACAGACAGGACCAGGAGCTGGAGAAGGTAAAGTGACACAGTTTCACCCGAGGATACAAATAACTGCATCTCCTTCAAATCCGCCGAGAAATCTGTTGACATGTGTCTGTGTTTCTAGGACATACAGCAGGACAGTCAAACAACACTGGAGAGGAAAACACTGAGGAGAGCTTTCTACTCTAGAGAGGCCAAGAACCAAATAGATGATGAGGATGAAGGTGCTTTTTAATGTTGTTCAATTGTCTTTAATTGTTGTCTTTAATGCACAAAACATGATCAAGGCTTCGTGTCTCTGTTTCAGTTTAGTTGCTTCAAAACTCTCAAGACACTTTTGTCTTTCTGTTTTATCAACGTGTGTGTTGGTAGTTGATGAAAAGCGGAAATAGAAAAGTGTTTGTTTGAATTGCTTTGTTGTTTTTGTGATATTCATCCCATCAGAGGAAGAAGTGGAGGAGGAAGATGACGACAACTTGTCGACGACCACCAACAGACGATCAAAAATCCCGTGGAAGGTAACGCGTCTATGCAGCTGCACACATTAAAGTGTCGTTCTCTACAAAGGAAACAGCTGACTGAGCTGGTCAGTTGCACAAGTTTCCTCAGATGTTCCTTTACTTTCGTCCGCCATGTTTCTTCATATTTGACGTCAAAAACTCGGCAAGTCTAGCACCAAAATTTTCACCAGCTTTCCAAGTTGTTCCGACTTGACGAGGCGTTTTCACCACATGAATGCAGGGTAGTATAATAGTAGCCACTGTGCCGCCTTTGTTGCTGCTTGACCCTTTAGTGGACTGGTATTACTTTACATAACCAAGAAAGCTGTGGCCAAAAAAAAAAAATCATCAATAACTTAAATTTGCTTCTTTTTTTTTGCCTGAACAAGAGTCAAAATTCATAAGTATAAGATGAGAATTGTAAAAGCCAAATAAATCTAGTTAGTTTTTTGTATGATTAAGTAATTAATCATTGCAATGTTGGCAGTAACATCTGCATCCAGAACAGCTCTGCCTCTAAAAATATTTTGTAGAAGTAAAACTGAGATCTGCCATCCATCCATCCATCCATCCATCCATCCATCCATCCATCCATCCATCCATCCATCCATCCGTGATAATGGCCGCTCCTTCATCTCAGGTGTGCTGGTGTTACATGTCCTCCGGTGGTTTCTTCATGGTCTTCCTGATGGTGTCCTGTAAACTCCTCAAACACTCCGTCATTGTTGCCATTGACTACTGGCTGGCTCTCTGGACGTCCTCCAAAACCAATCAAAGTGCGTCCAGTGGACTGTCCAATGGAACCAGCCTGGCCAACAGCATTAACACCACCCTCCACACCCGGGGTTTCTCGGAGGCTGAGGTACACGACGACTACATCCTGATAAGTTTACACATATAAAATGGAATACAAAAAAAAAAAAAAAAAACAAGTGCAAAAGAAGAAAAGAAAATGATAAATAAATAAAAGATAAATGCAATTAAATGAGAAGTAATACAGTGTGTGTGTGTGTGTGTGTGTGTGTGTGTGTGTGTGTGTGTGTGTGACCCACAGAACGACGCCTACTATCTGCCGGTGTTCATCATCCTGTGTGCAGCTGGTATCACTTTGTGCCTCATCACTTCTCTCACCGTGGAGTTTCTGGGTCTTTCTGCAGCCACCAACCTGCATCACAACCTGCTCAACAAGATCATCCACGCCCCCATCAGGTGCAGTTACTAACACACACACACACACAACGGGACCGTAACAAGTTCAGCCTGGAGGTGCAAAAGGTGGCTACAGGCTCAGTGTGGATCTGTGTTGCATCTAAAATGCTGAATCTGCTTGATGAGAAGTTGTTCATTGTATCCATTTATTACTTGTTTATATCAGCTCCTGATGCTCTGACTGGCTCAGTATTAGTAGTGTTAAGTAGAGTACCTGCACAATAGTGGTGACATTTATGTCTTGTGTTGAAATTGTTGACTTAGACTGAGGACGAATAGACAGGAAAGCAGAATTTCACACACAGGTCTTGTCTCCAAGGAAACACCTGTGAGGGGTGGCTCAGAAAGTGGGTTACATAACCTTCAAGTGTCTAAAAACAAAAAACATCCTAAATGTTTGCTTTTGATGTTATTTGATGCTTTATTTATTACCTCGCTGCTCAGGTTCTTTGACATCACTCCCCTGGGACAGATCCTCAACAGATTCTCAGCTGATACCAACATCATTGACCAGGTAAATGGATGAATAAAGATCATCTACATGGATAGACTGAGGACTCGTTGTGTTGCAGTTTTGCTTCGGTTCCAAACCAAACATGATGCACTCTTCTGTCTTTTAGCATATTCCTCCCACGCTAGAGTCTTTGACGAGATCCACGTTACTCTGCTTGTCGGCCATCGGGGTCATATCCTCCATCACTCCGCTCTTTCTGATCGCCTTGGTTCCCTTGGCGGTCGCCTTCTACTTCATCCAGAAGTACTTCCGGGTGGCCTCCAAGTGAGTCCATGGTGCAGGATTTGTATTTAAACAAAGCAGGGAACGGCAAACTTTTTGGGATTTTTAGCTATAACCTATAAACTGTTTATATGTATTTTTCGTCTGTATAAACCAAAAATAATGAAGACATTGGATATAAACCCATGTATAAATTGTGAATTCTCTCTCTCTCTCTCTCTCTCTCTCTCTCAGGGACCTCCAGGACCTTGATGACTCCACACAGCTTCCTCTGCTCTGCCACTTCTCTGAGACCGCAGAGGGTCTCACCACAATAAGAGCATTCAGGTACAGCTGAAACTACTGCTTTTATTGATACCAGTGTTACAAGTGTACAATCTGAATAAAATAAATAATATTCCTGACAACTACTGAGGGAAGTTCAGAGACGAACAGTCAGTGACACATACTGGCGGTGAATGGGAGACTGAGGTTGTAACAGTTTATGCTTGTGGGTCCGGGTGGGCGGGGCTGAGGGCGGTGACTGCTTGTTGTGACATCACAAAGTTACAGAAGTCCTGACGGCTGGTTTTAGGGCTCAGTTTCTGATTACAGGCTGTGTGTATTTCTCTGTGGACTGAGCGCTTTGATGCTTTCACAGTATTAATATAGAACCTAGACCTGCTTTCTAATCAAACAACACACGGACATCTACCTTTAGACTATATGGCGCTTTAAGTTTTATATATATTTGTAAGTGTTAGTAGTTGTAATAATATTATAATGATGTTAGAAGTAGTTGTAATAGTAGCTGTAGCTCTTAGAGAGCCAGTAGTTGTGGTTTTACTTTTAACTGCAGTGACAGAAACATTAGCTCCAGCTCATGTTGTAGTATCTCCTTGTATTTCTGTCTTCACCCTCTTTCCCATCGTCGGTATAATCCAACATTAAACAGCTCTCACGCTTTTCTTCTCCTCTCTTCCCTGAGGACTTCCTCTTCCTCACACACACACACACACAAATATACAAACACTGAGAGACACGCACACACACACACACACACACACACACACACACACACACACACACACACAGAAACAGTGAATCTGGTGCTGAGACAGATTCTTGGCAATCATGGGATGGTTCCCATTATCATTATCCACTGGTCTCCCTCCAAACCAAGTCTGGTTTAGATGGCAGCGACTCTCTGAGCTCAGACGATGATAAAACATTGAGATTCAACAGGAGAAATATTTAATTCCATTAGTTCAAAGTTTGTTTATTATTAGAGTTTTTTTAAATTTCCTCTTTACCCTTTTGTTCTTATTTTACTTGTCAGTTAGAAATCAAGGCCAAGAACAGGTGAAACCAACAACATGGTATTTAGGTGAAAATCTACATAGAATAATTTTGTGTGTCTAATGTTTTTAATCAAATGTGTGTTTCAGACACGAGGCTCGTTTTAAACAGCGGATGCTGGAGCTGACGGACACCAATAACACAGCCTATCTGTTTCTGTCTGCGGCCAACCGCTGGCTGGAGGTCCGCACGGTGAGAAACTAGTTTTTGAAAATCCTCTCAGAGGACCGTTCACTGCTTTTCTCACAGGTACGGTAGAGACATGTAATCTTCACATATCAGTGGCCAAAGAAGTAGTAAATGAATGTAAACTATTAAGGAAGGATGATGTAAAGCTCGTTCATGCTCTTGCAGTTCTTTGTTTTTGCTTTTATTCCATTTCTCAAACTCCCATTTCCAAACATGTGATCAGCCTTTTAATCATAAGTGCAGCTCTCTGTGAATTTAGATTTTGTTGTATGTTCTTTGAGTGAACATGTCTTCCTCTTTTCCCCTCTTTGTGCAGGACTACCTTGGAGCAGTGATAGTGCTGACGGCAGCCGGAGCCTCCATATGGAGTTTGAAGTATGCTGTGCCCTCCGTGGGCCTGGTGGGCCTCGGACTCACCTACGCCCTCACTGTGAGTTTTCACGTCTAATGCTCAGTCACACTTTTCAGCCTGCCCATCCACTACAGCACCTGACCACTGTGCTGCAAGTTTACTGCACATAACTTCATCTCACTGCATCACAACCCACTAAATGGACCTCTCCATGGATTCTCTGAATCTGTTTTCTTAGACAGATGGTATTTTATGAAAAGCACAGTCTGATGCATTATAAGATGCTCTGTGAATCTCTTATTGTCGTAACAGCCAATACAAAACCAAACTTTTTCATAATATAAATTTAGATTTAAGTTGTCTTGTCATATTATTATTATTATTATTATTATTATTATATCGATAGAAACCAGCTCACTCGACCCCCCCTTTGTGCAGGTCACCAACTACCTGAACTGGGTCGTGAGGAACCTGGCGGACCTGGAGGTCCAGATGTCGGCTGTGAAGAAGGTCAACAGCTTCCTCAGCACAGAGTCCGAGAACTACGAGGGATCTATGGGTAACTGAGTTCTTGTTGTCAAGCCGACACGGCACTGTTCACCAAAACAGATGACGTGTAACTGGCCTTTAAATCCGGATGACGTTTCAGACAAACACAGTCCAACATAGATACTTTTGGAGATACTTTTCTAATCTGCTGAAACCACAAAAACCTTTTACTAGCAATCAAGACCAAAAAACTTTAAAAACTTAATTCTACAAATTATTTAAATTACACTCGATCTAAATGAGGGTTTGTTTTCCAAGCACAAAGAAACGAACAGAATGACCCCATCTAATGATAAACCAGCTCGTGTTATAACTCTACACTATGTGGTTGTGGTGTCAATGAGTTTGTGTGTGTGTGTGTGTGTGTGTGTGTGTGTGTGTGTGTGTGTGTGTAAAACCTTTGTGACAGTTTCATCTTCTGCTCCACAGTCCAGAAGCTGTGTGTTAGGTTTATGGGATGTGCTGTTGCCATGGTGAAATACAAATGCTGCAGGAATCTTTTTCCTGGCAGCACAGAGAACAAAACATAGAGATGTTTCATTATTTAACTCTTATTTCATTAGAACAGTGCCATAGAGATCACTGATATCTCATCAAGCCAAATCAAATCCGACCAGAACCGAACCGTTTGAAATCTTGAACAAAAAAGGAAAATGCTTCAGTGAGTTTGAGCAAGACAGGGCAGCTATTTCGGGTAGTAAAAACAATTCCTGCACTTGAAAGATTGGCTGGAAGAAACCAACGAGGTGAAGGAGTGAAAAGAAAAAGATATCAGAAAAGGATAAAAGTGGATTTAAGGATAGGGTTTATTTCTCTCATTGGCCTTTCCTCTGAACCTTTACAGTAGACGACCAGTGAAACCATAAAACGATCCCAAAACCCCTGAGTGACAAGAGGACAGAGAGATTTTTCCTCTCTGACATCATGGAAGCTTCCAGCTAATTGATAAAAATATAAAATCCTCCAAAGTTAGGGAGGAACAGATTAAACATAGCCTGCAGAAGAGCCCTGCCATTTTTGTTATCTGTGTGATTTATTTATTTTAGTGTAGTAACATCAATAATGTTCCATTTGAGCTCCACATAACAGGGAGAACTTGTCTGTCTTAAATAGTTGTACTGTATAGAGTTTTGTTAAGTCTTAGAAAATGACCCAAGTGACGTCATTTGAGTGTTTAATCTTGGGGATTACAACATTTTAATGGAAAGTCTATGGAGTTTGGAAGACACTGGTGTTTTTCCAGTCCAACAAACCACACTATTGAAGTGCATTATGGGAAGTGTAGGATCCAGAGTTTTTGGAGCTTGATGCACACTAGGGGTTAAAGGGTTCAGTACGCTTCAAACAAACTAGTTTTATGACGTGTCCTATGTGTTCTGCATGCTCACGTTCAAAAGCCACGTTTCCATGGACCTGCTCGATGTGCAACGTGAATTTACGAAAACAAAAACGAGTAATGGAAAAATGTGAATTCAGAGAAAATAAAAAACAAAGCAATATTTTGCAAAGGTGAAATTGAAAGAAACGGGATTTAAGTCACATAACATCCAAAACCTATTATCTCTCAAAAACCCCTGATACATGGCCGCAGATAAGATGGGTTTGCCTCTCCGTCATTACATGCACCAGACGCCCTCTCATCTCCTTTGATTAAATATTATAACGGCTACTGCGGTGGATGAAATTTTCCCAACAATTAGCAGATGCTGGAAATCCAGCACCACGTTTTAATTGGAACAATTTCGCGAGAGTGGAAACCCAGCTTTATTCACATAACATCACTCAGTGGAAACACAGATCATTCTCAACTGTGTTCTGTCGACTTTCTAAAAAAAAAATGCTTATATTTTGCACAAAACAAGTGGCCATTTAGTCAAAATGAGGGGAGCGGGGGTATTAACCATAGATATCATAAAGTTGTTATTTCCTTTTGTTCTTTTCTGAAAAAATAACTATTGTAAGGGAATGCAATTTAACAGATAAAGAGTATAAAAATAATGATAAAAACCTAATGTCACTCATCGTTGCCAAAGTAAATCTATTAGCTGTGATGTAGCTTTTAGTCCAGCCCCATGCTGAAGTGTGCAGGCATCACGGTTTACAGTATAAAACTATGTAAATGTATAGTTGTGATGTCAGTCGGGAATTTGAGCCGTTTTTTTAATAGGGAAACTCCACCACTGTTTATCTGCAGTGTTATGACTTGGACCATATGGTCTATACGCTCCTGTTTACACTGTAACATAGACAACTGGCAGGCAGTTAGTGGTCTGTTTTTTGTTGCGCTGTTCAGGGTTAAGCAAGAGTTAAAAAAGAGAGAAGTAAACCCCCCCCCCCCCCGCCTCTGTGTTTCTCTCCCTCCAGACACCTCTCAGGTGCCTGAGAACTGGCCCCAGGACGGTGAGATAAAGATCCAGGACCTGTGTGTGCGCTACGATCCCATGCTCAAACCAGTGCTCAAACACGTCAACGCCTACATCAAACCGGGCCAGAAGGTAATTACCACGATGGTGTGAAGAGAGCGGAGCAGGGCCGCAGCGATCACTGTGGTACAGCGAAACAGTCACAGATGTGACGGCTTATTATTGATCGTATATGACTGGAAGTGTCTAATTAATTATGGCCAATAAATGTGTGACACTGAGAAAAATGTCACAGCCACAACTATCATTAAACTAACAGTACTGTATTATAATCTATAGGGTAACACGTAATTCACACACTGTTGCTAAGAAACAAGGACCTCACATCACAGTGAAACGCCAAAGCAGTGACGTGTGTCTATAGGCGCAGAGGGAGGTAATGACAAAAGATCAACAGCAGGATGATTAAAGGGAGGGGAGCTGTTGAATATCGAAGTTGAATAATTTCATTTCATTGGCAGCCTCCGATGCCTTAAACTGCGAACCGACACTAGAAGAGATGTAAGTGGAGTGTCTCTCACTGGTTGAACATGTTTATGTCTCATTAAAGTGAAAGACTCTTCAGATGCTCTCCTGTCTGTCAGTGGAGTTTAAATAATCTCTTGCTAAAAGTGCATCACTGTTTGTTCAGTAAGTCAGTCAGCGTAGGAATATTGTTGTCGTAACAACCGTGAACACTTCCAGCTCCTGAGACGGGGGTTTGTCAAAGTGCTTGATTTACTTTACTTATTTAATCCTGTTCCTGCCCTGCAGCTGTGTCTCTCAAACTCTTTCACACCAAGGACCCTAAACGGACACAAATTAGACCCCAGACCCCCCGTCTGACCAGATGTTTGTTTTTAGATGTTTTATTTCAGAGAGTGTTTGAAACCCACGACCAAAGTAGTCACACACTCTGCCACTGTGTTACTTGTGGATGGAAATATAGTGAAAAATACACAGGGATGTAGCGCCACAATGAGTTCCCGCCATCGTTGGCTGCCGTTGGCAACATGTTGAACCTCACCCCAACTCTCATTTCTGAGTCTATGTCGAGGCCTCCTAACAGTTTTATGTGCCCCGGGGGCATCTTAACCAGACTGAGCCCAGACACGCTGCAGAGGAAACTCATTTCAGCCGCTTGTATCCACGATCTCATTCTCACAGGTCGTTCTTACCAACACACTGAAGTGTGTTTCCACTGTCCTACAACACTGTGCCTCTAAAGCTCACAGAGCATGTAGATGTGAACTGTTTTTATTTAACCTTTTGTACTTATAGAAATGTTTCCCATGAGGGTTTTTTAATGATTAATTCTTAACGTACAGTGGCTGTTATGTAGAGTGTCTCCATTGGAATAAAATAAACTTCTCTCATCACTTGTTTCTTCATAGTTAATATGATTTAAATGAACAGTTACAGTCTAATTTGAGAAGGCTGTGAGTTTCTCTTACATGAGGATATTTCCTTTGAAGTCACAGCCACATGCCTCCATTAAACTGCGAACTGACACTGAACTGAGCAAACTGCGTCCACACACAGCATGTACCTGCCGCTCTGTTATCACACAGGTGTCTCATGTCTCACCGCAGTGTCACAGCGAGCCTTGTTGACCGCCTCTCTTCTTCCTGTTAGGTGGGAATCTGCGGTCGCACAGGCAGCGGGAAGTCCTCTCTGTCCTTGGCCTTCTTCAACATGGTGGATATTTTCGAAGGTGAGTTTGTCTCCTGTCACACTGTTAACACACAGAGAGAGGGAGAGGTTGTTTTTTTTTTTGTTCTACCTCCTTCATCTTTGTTTCAGCTTCTATTCCTGCAGTCTCTCTCATCTCTCCTTGTCTTGTCTTGGTGTCTCTCACTGGTTGAACATGTTTATGTCTCATTAAAATGAAAGACTCTTCAGATACTCTCCTGTCTGTTTGCCGAAGGATTTCCCTCCGACTTGTTTTCTTGAGCACCTCTTGACCCGGAGGTCCTGCTCCACTCAGAAAACAACACAACACTGTTGGTCCCTTGTTTTGGTTTTCTGTGGTCATGTTCTTTCTTGGCCGTTTCCTCTGATCTACTGACAAATATAGACTTGTTAGACAGGAGGGTACTTACACCTTCTAAAATGATTTAATAGATCATAACATGATAGCTAAAGAACCGTTACAAGTGTCTTTCAGCACGCTTTATTTTTCCCTGCAGGCTTGCGTAGGTGTTTAGTTTTAAAGAGTAACACTGAGCTCTTATTTGGGGCGCAGCTCTGTGGAGAAATATTTTTGTGAATGGGTCCCTGTTTGATTTGTGTCGTCTCTTGCCGCGTTGTCTGTCCGAACCCGAACTGAATCTTAAGAGAGAAGTAACCAAGCCCGACCCGAACCCGACACGGTTGGTGTCACACAGTTACCATGGTGACAGCCTACCTGTTGATCCTGATTACACACGTGTGGGCACCTTGTGAATGAACCCGAACATCAAATGTGGATTAATCCACCACTGAAAATAGTCCCCAACAAATGCACCATTTCCAGGAGGAAATAAAATAAAACTATTGATAAATATCTACAATTATTATTAGAAATATCAATCACACAATGCACTGTAGTTTTGGAGTAACAGCAGATCATCAGAGTGAACTCAGAGGAACTGCGAAAAGCCTGACTTCCTTTAACCTAAGCAATTGCATAATTCAGGTTTTCAGCCATTTCACAAAGAGAACTAACATGATTCATAATTAAAACCTGATTTAATCAACATTATTCCTCACAGTTTTGTCTGTATTGCCTCAACAAAAGACGTCATGGGCTCACGACTGAACAGAAGAGGTAACAGACGTCTAACTCTCGTGGTTTTTCCTTCACATCTCAGCCTGCCTAAGCAAACAAAAAGAAAAATTGCTATATTGTGTATATTTAAACTTAAAGTATTGACAAGTGTAATTTAGTATCGACTTCAGTTGTTTTAACGTCTTCAGGGAGCAAGGGGGGAGTTGAGGAATTAGCAGGGAGGGGAATTCTGGGAAAACTGTTCTTTTATATTTAGAAGCACTTGAACTAACAGTACAGATTGGATAAGACAGAATTATTTACAGCAGTTATACTCAGGTATCATGATGGATCTAACGATGCTTTGTATTGTTTATTCCTGCTGCGTTTAGCACTTTTAACTCTGAACATAATCACCCCTGTAGTTTACAGTTCCTTTCTAACGTCTGAAGCACTAATCACAAACCTTTTACACGACCACACTGTGTAAATCTGATCCCTCTGAGTTCCTCTTACTAACTGTGGCCCATTCATCTAAAGTGTTTAGTTTTTCACCTATAAATCAAGAAACATTCAACTGAAATGTTTATTCCTCAGTGGCGACGCTGTGAGTGGCAGCATTAGTGCCCTGAAGTCGCTGCGACTTTTTATTTTTTATTTTTGTTCACATCATGTTTTTTCAAAAGGCTTTTAAATGATCCGCACTCATTTAACTGCTACAACTGCTTTTGACATGTGGGATAAAGACGACACAAACCTTCTCACAGCTGCATACCCTCACTCATTAGATGATACGAAAGAGAAGACAGACAATAACATCTATCAGAGTCTACTACTGTGGTTCAGGATTCCCCAGGGGGGTTGCAAGATAATAAATAGAAAATAATAAGAACAAAAAAAACAATTTCTGCTGCACAAATTGTTTACTTTTTCTGACTTTTCACTGAACTTTTCTTTTTTTTTATTGTGAAATACTTCAACGTTTTACGTCATCAAACCTCTAAAAGCCTCAATTCAGAGGAAGCAGTCTGAGAAGGGAGCATCACTGTTTAATGGAACTGCTCTTAAATGTGGAAATGACAGAAATCTGACATATGACAAAATCTGACAAAGGAGACGTAGGTTTTCTTATTGTCAACAAATCCCATGAAAAAACCAAAACCAGCAAAGCTACTAACAAATATTGTGTGTGTATCCGAAGCCTGATCTAGTTCTTCTTTATTTACACTAACTGTTAAAAACACATCAGAGCCGCTCTGGCTACATCGTTAGTTTTAAAACGCATCTCTTTCGCTACGTTTACTCCTGGCGTCCACACGACTCCGGAGTTTTCCAGCACGTAAAACAGAGACTTTTGTAAAAACGCTGCTGGATCCGATTTAGTTTGAAAACTGTGAGGACGATGTGGTCTGGACGAGGCCAAACGGATACCTTTTGGAAACGATGACGTAGACACAGACGGTCGCCTCCTGATTGGATCTTATCGGCCTCGACTACAAGTGGTGAAAGCAACATGGATAATGAATTACAAGCGTTACTAACCTTGTTGTCTTTGCTAGCAGCTGTTGTGCAGTTAAATTCTGCATTTTAACACGCTAAACTAATCAACTGCAGAGTAGACGATCTGCTTCCTGTTTACACCGGCTCCCACATGCCCAGTCCTTTTTCGAGATCTTTTTTTTGTTTTAAAACTTAAATGAAAACATATTAGCGTTGACGTATTACACTGTTCCACACACACTGTTGTTTATTTTGACTCAGTCCCACACACACTGTCCTGCTCACTAGAGCACCAAATGTGGATTAATCCGCCACTGAAAATATTCCCCAATAAATACGCCACTTCTTGTTTGTTTGCCTAAAAAAACAGGAGGAAATCAAATAAATAAGTAATTAAATTAAAGGTTGGTTTAAGTTATGAATAATCTACAAATATTAGAAATATCAACCTTGATGTGACTTAAGTGCGGAGACAAAATGAACACAGATAATATGTGGTGGTTTTAGCTACAAGTAAAACACCACGGGAGGTAAATTAGACGTTCTGCGTCATCTCGTCGTCTCCTAAACATCCACCATCCAGCCTGTATTATAGTAGTGTCTGTTTATGTCAGAGAAAATGTTTATTCAGCCGTTCCTCCTTCAGGTTCTTTTTAAACACTCGTGCAGGTCCAAGTGAGAATATGAAGGTTCATTTTGTTCTTTTAAAGAGGACCTGAAGGAGACTCTTCTATCAGAGAAGTAAGATAAGGGTATAAAGAACAAGACTTGGCCCAGTTACTCCCAGTCATCTTCAGGCTCTGGATCGGATTTCTTAAAATTTCGTTTTTATTTATTGGATTTTGAAAGCAACTCGTAATTGTATCGTTGTGTTTGTACTCTGGACGATAAGGACAGCTTCTAGACAGATTATCCAGACGAGGATGTGATTACACAGTCACTTTTTCCATTCACACACACACACACACACACACACACACACACACACACACACACACACACACTGCAGCTGGACAGACATTTCATTTAACTGTAAATTAAGGCATTTGTTTTAGCAGCGTTTCCTTATAAAGCAGTGAAATAAAACTGGAGCAGCGTGTTGGCGATAGCTCTCCTGACTGAACCCACGGGAACATTTGTCATAAACAGAACAGAAAATATTTATTCAAGATTCAAGCTAAAAATGTGCTGTTTGCAGGGGGTTATTGATCAGTTATTACACACAGTACGTTTTCTTATTTTCCAGGGAAGATCGTCATCGATGGGATTGACATCTGTAAACTTCCTCTGCAGACTCTGAGGTCGCGACTCTCCATCATCCTCCAGGATCCTGTGTTGTTTAGTGGATCAATAAGGTAAACAAACAAACACACACACACACACTCACACTCAAACAAAGCTTCAGAATATCCTTTTAATAACCCAAACTCTCCTTGGAGAATCATCATGTGAAGTCTAAAGATCGGGTTCCTCTTAATGTTTCTTCACTGCTCACAAATGGGAACAACTCCAGCAGATACTAATTTATTTTAAAGGCCACTTCCTAAAATGTACAGTTTTATTTTGAAATCAGTTTTACACTATAAATCCATAGTTCAGTGCCTTAGCCTATTTTTTTTTATTTTGGAAAAAAGACATTTATCAGGCAAAAAACTGCACATATGAAAGTGGCATTTTATTGTCAATCAGGATATGCCACACCTGTCAGGTGGAGGAATAATCTTGGTCATTAACACACATTTAAACACATTTGTGGACAAATTTTTAAGAGACAGAAACCCTCCGTGTGTGTGTATAGAAAAAGTCTTGGATCTTTTATTTACAAATGAAAAATGGTTCTCCAACGACACCACAGCTGGGTCTCACACTGTTGAATTGACCACACTCGTCTTTAGGAAAGATGCAGAAACAACACGGCAATTATCTCTTTGTCAGAAAGATAAAGACAAATAAAAAAAAACTAGTAGTTGCATGTCAGATAAAGTAAAATCCAAACTGCAGCAACAAGTGAAAATAAGTCACAGAGAAAAGGAGGAACATTTGTCACATGACGACACACAGTCCCAGCTGTGGGGTTAGTGGTTGAACACACAGTGGGAATCTGGCTGAGACCTAATCTGACTTTTGTCACAGACGTCATGGACTGAGGAGGTCGTCGGAGGGATGAAGGACCCTGTGTTGTCTTCTGCCTCCTCCTCCTCCTCCTCCTCCTCCTCCTCCTCCTCCTCCTCTGTCGTTCACACTCACAACCTCCATGTGTTTGTGTTACTGGACGATACAGTGACTCTGTGTTTGTTATAAAAGACAAAGAGCATGTGCTATTTGTTTGGACAGAGACGCCGCTCCAGATAATTATGTGTGTGTGAGAGTGTGAGAGTGTGAGAGCGTGCGTGTCTTGTTTATGTGAACGTAAGCCGGGGGGTGAATGGTCGACAGTAACTGTTTCACACTGTTATCTTGGATGTAGCCGTTATGTTCTGACACTGTTTGACTCGCTCTGACTCTGCCACACACACATTCAGTAATAAAACTCGGCAGATTTTTCACATTGTGATTATTCCTGCAGTTATTTCTCGAAACCTCAACGAGGGAGCCAGAGTTAGAGATGTTATAAACCGGAATAAATTAACGATAACATCATTAACCGCTCTGTGTGACAAAGAGATACATGTGCACGTGAGGAGAAAACTATACAGGGTCATTTATTCATTCTCATTTATTCGAATATTTCATCTATTTTCGCTCAATATTTTCCCAGTTCACGATGTCAGTGTCTTGTCTCTGAGATATTCAGGACACGATGTCTCAAAACTTCCTCCAGCTCAACAAAAATAAATCAAAATTGTTTAATTTGGTTTGTTTTCAAATCACTCTTGGCATCCCGTCTGCAGCGATCGACCCTGCAGCCAGAAACTGACGGCAAACAAGCGACTGGAACTATTAAATCATGTTTCCCCCTAAATCTCTTGAAATATGAGGCATTTCCTCTGAATTATTGATCAAGTAAAGGTTGTTTGTGTTTTAGTTTCTTCCCGTTTTGATTAGTGTTGCCAAGAAAATAATTTCTCAGCTGCAGCTTGTTCAAAATGTAACTGCTAGATTTATGCAGAATTAATTATATTTCGTTGATCTCATTTAAAACGCACTCAGCTGAAAATACGTTCGGTAGTTTTACTTAAATTAATCAGATGACTCGGTTGAGCATCACCAAGGCAGACAGCACATTTACATTGTGTTACAGTATATTAGCATATATATATATGATATGAGCAATTTACACACTCGCTCTGACGTTACCAACACGTTCCCTGCACTCGCTGGGGACGATCAAGAAACACTTGAATCAAATCAGGAGAGACTTCACATTCTGAGCCGACGAATACACTTTTATTGCCATGTGCAACACAATAAAGTGAGAGATGTGAGTCTTTGGTGATTAGACCCCGTCGTGATGTCGTCATGTGTGTAAAGGGGGTGGAGGAACTGGCCTTTACAGCAGCACAAATGTCACTGCACTCGGGTATAAACAGTAAAAGCTGCTGGGTTGGCGTCCATGTTTGTTTCTGTGCAAGAGGCAGAGCTCCAGTGGTTCTCTAGTGTATTTGCTCAGTCGTAAGGTTCATGCTCTGAAATCTGAAAAGTTAGTGTAAACAATCAGGGATGAATAAATTAAAAGGAGACTCAAGCTCTGATACCGCTCTGAAAATACATGAGTCACACTTCGACACTGTTAACTTTATTTCTGTGTTTGTACGGCTGGCTGAGAGCACACGCACCTGCTCAGCATCCTCTGACACCGTCATCACACTCACATAAAGCCGCTGTAAATTGTGTCGTCTTGTTGCAGGTTTAATCTCGACCCAGAGAGGACGTGCACCGACGATCGGCTCTGGGAGGCGCTAGAGATCGCCCAGCTGAAGAACATGGTGAAGGCGCTGCCTGGAGGACTAGGTACTCTAATACACGTCGTCAGCTAAAGAGGATGCATTGGTTAGCATGAAGAGTCAATTAGTAATTTAACAGTTCTGTTTAATCACATGTCTGCTGTTCATTGTGTTTGTGTGCAGATGCGGTCGTGACAGAAGGTGGCGAGAACTTCAGTGTCGGTCAGAGGCAGCTCTTCTGTTTGGCCAGAGCTTTTGTCAGAAAGAGCAGCATCCTCATCATGGATGAAGCCACAGCATCTATAGACATGGCCACGGTGTGTGTGTGTGTGTGTTATATCAGATAATTCTCAGTGATTTGACTAAAACACCACAGATGACATTATTACTTTTTAATTATCATTATCACCTTTTTAAATAATGGTAATACTCTTTTCTTTTTCTTCCCTTGCAGGAGAATATCTTACAGAAAGTCGTGATGACTGCGTTCGCAGACAGAACAGTCGTGACGATCGCAGTAAGTCCTTCACTCTCTTCTCCCGTTGATTTTTCTTTTTATTAAAAATGTAACAAAGCGGATAAAAACTCTGACTTTTATTTAGAGTAGACTAAAATCAAATCCCAGTCCTGCAGCTGTCTGAGGTTCTAGGTTTGTTCAGTGCTGATAGATGCAGATATACATGTGCATCTATCACATATCGCTCTCCTTGAGGAAGCCTTATGCATCCTTCTCCTGAATCTTTTCCTTGTATGTTTTCTTACTAACTATTTTTCCATATCTAACGCAGTTAATCTTCCAAATGCACTTTAATGTAAAGTCAGTCCTCTTGGCCACTTCTTTCACATATCTGCTTCCCTTTTTTCTGACCTTTGTGATACTATCTTGTCCCGTGTGTCTGCTCTTCCTCCCATCCACCTTCTTTTTCTTTTTCTTTGATCATTTCTCTTCCTGTCATCCACCTTTTCTACCTCTCCATCTTCCTCTTCTTCTCTCTTTGCGTGCACTTTCTTCTTTTCCATCTTCTCTTTTCTTTTACTTTTATTTTTATCCCACTTTCTTTTGTATTTTCTTTGCATTTCTTTCTGTCCTTCCCATCTCCTCTCCTCCATGATTTCTTCTACCCTTCCCCCTCGTTCTCCTCGTCCTCCTCTCTGTGCCTTCGTCCCGCCGCCAGCACCGTGTGTCCTCTATCTTGGACGCCGAGCAGGTGTTGGTCTTCTCCTCAGGGATCTTGGTGGAAAGTGACTCGGGTCCCAACCTGCTAGCACAGGAGGAGAGCCTCTTCAGTGTGCTAGTGAGGACTCACAAGTAGACCCGGACCAGCACGGACCGCTTTTGGCTCAGCTGGTCTCTTTTCCGTCTTTTCTCTTTTCTCCATTTTTCCAGCTGTTTCTGTTTTTCTTTTCTGCTTCTCCTGGCTGAGTCAGAGCTGGAGTCCGAGTCTGAGTCTGGGTCTGCTGACGCCTTACTGCCACTGACAGCCTGGTTGGTACCGAAAAAAAGATACTGCATGCTCCATTACAGATATTTCATATACATGCAGTGCAGTTGGGCCTCAGCCTGCAGTGTTGTGACATCATTTATTGTGTGTGCTTTCAGGATTAGATCAGAGCATGTCAGACTATAGGTTTGTGTTTCTGCTACATCTGAAGAACCATGAAGATTTGGCAAATTAAACAATATATAGATATATATACAGAGACAAGTATATGATGTGGTCCAGCGGCGAAGTCGTCCAGCTAGCGACAACTTTCAAAGTTCCTGTTATTGGCTTATCACAGGGATAGACCTTAATATTTAAAAAAAAACAAACAATGAAAGGAGTTTTTAAACATTTTTAATTCCGTTAAAGATCATTTTGTTTTAAGACATAATTTATATTTTTAATTTTTTCCACTGTCATGGAGGATTAAAAGAACAACAGCAGTTTTCACACGTGACAGAACAATAACAAAGAATCGTCCTGTCGTTTCTTGTGTTTACGTTTAGTTTCTCTAAAAGGTTTTGGACCCGGGGAAAGTTCCTGTGGTAGAAACACAAACTAATGTTTAAACTAGTGACATAACATATTATGATGAAGCAGAAATCGACCAGTTTTCTTTGGGTGCCATCTACAAAAAGCACAAGTGTCAACTAATTAACCAAAAGAGCTAATTGGCTGGTTTAAGGCTAAATCACTGGACCAAAACATGTTGGAAAAATAACTGTATGAATACGTGGCATGATGCGTTTCAGTAATCGTCTTTACCATTTTTCCACAACCTGACCGTCTTTGTGTTCCGTGTGTCTCCAGCACCGAGTCCACACCATCCTAACAGCTGATCTGGTCATCGTGATGAAGCGAGGGAACATTTTGGAGTACGACAAACCCGAGACTCTTCTGGAGCAGGAGGACGGGATGTTTGCTTCGTTCGTCAGAGCTGACATGTAGAGGCGCACAGATCAGCGTTCATTCAGATCAGTTGGTTGATCTACTCCTTTATTTTCTTTTTTACTTTGAGCTGGACCGACCTCTGTGACACTGAAACACTCCAGCGAAGCCGATAATACACTGTTTCTTTAACGAGAAGCTTCTCCGTGTTCTCAGTGCATCCAGAGACACCATCAGTCACCAGCTGGTGTGTTTGATACAGCTGAATTCTGCCTTTTTGAGACACACGCCATTTATTTATACAACCGATCAACTGACCATCGAGTCCATCAATTGGTTTTTCCAATTTTCACAATGACGCTGTACGAATTTAGCAAAAGCACAGATCAGCAAATGGATCAGCAACATTTAAGCAACCAGTGTTAAGAGTGTAAAGGTCAAAATAATGATAAATAATAGAAATATGAAAGATAAAAATAAATATTTCTGTTAATTTATGATGCTAATGACTAATGAAACGTACCCTGCGGGCGACAGCTGGTCACCAACATCATTAAACGTTGATATTTGGTTGAACGCAGGTTGTGACGTCACGTGACCAAAACTCAATGTCAGGACAATGTTTATTTGATGTAGAATATTTGGTTGGTTTTTAAGTAGGTTAGTAACCAAAATCCAACGTCTTCCAATCGTCTCGTGCCAGCGACATCTGGACGAATAAAATTACTGACATTCTGGTCGTGAGCGAAACCAAACGTCTGCTAAACGTCACAATGGAATCAGTCAACGCTGCGTTTTGATCTCAACCCCATTTTCATTTTCAACCAAAATTTAAAGTCCGTCCGACATTAGAGTCGTTAAGAGTCCAACGTCTTTCTGAAGTTACATTGACGTCCGGTGCCTGTTGAGAAAGTACAAGATCATATCGACAATAACAGACACGATTTGAAGGGTTGGCCGTTTTCTCACTCGCCTCTCGTGCTGCCAGGCCATGTAAAGAATTTGGGTGTTTGCATTTCGTCCAGGTTTTAAATTTTCCACCATCAGCCCAATACAATAGCCTCTATTGTACAGTAGCCTCTATTGTATTGGGCTGATGGTGATGAAATGAAATTGAAGCATGGAAAACTCCTTCCAACCTCTATCTCTGTGCTTTGATTCACAGCAGCAAAGACATTGTCTCTGCGGTTGAATTTTGTAAATGCTGTGAGCATCCAAATGAAATTCCATTTACTTCCATTGCGTTGGTAGTGGAGATACAGAAACAGATACCAGAAAACCTGGACAAATAAAACCAAAACTCTCTGCATAAACAGGTGCCGCTAAAGGTCGGTGAGAAAGTTTTATTTTTCATTTGTTCGGTTACGTCTTTTTAATGATGTTGCTCTTTAACTGTGAGGTCGCACTGTGCACATCACTTCACATACTTACAGTATTTTCAGTCTTTCTCATTGTCTACATATCACATGAAAGACTGAACCAATAATCAATACCTACAGGCAGACTAATATTTAACCATTCACTTAACATATTTATTTCTGAGCTGGTTTAAAGATTTACATCTTCAGTCGGAACCAATGGACTCGAGGTTGAGAGCTACAGACTAATACTCTGTTGGTTTTGTCTTTTTCAGGGGGATTTTGTGAACAATAAGAAGAATAATAAAGAAATAATGGGTTTGATGGTTGATTTGATTTTTACAGTGTAAATTGCTGAATTTAAAATCTCATTGTATCTGAGTTGAATAGTTTTGGATTGAGCTGAACTATCAGGTCCTGCAAGGATCTTTTTATATTGATAGAATTTTAAAAGTCTTTAATTATCTTGTGTAAAAAAAAAAAAACTAAACATTTGTTACCTTCTTTTAGATTATGCAGCACCTGTATCAGTGTATACTCTTTATCACTTGTATTATGCAATAATGAGGAACGGTGGAGTTGTTTTTTTTAAATGCTTTTTAAAAAACGATTGAATGTGTCATGTGCCAGTGTTTGTGTGCTGCATGCATCAATGCACTGTGCAATCTCTCGCTGTAAAGGATTTTAAACCTGAATATTTTAAAAGTCTGATGCTGCATTCACATGACGTCAGGAGTTTGGGGGAAAGGACAGGATGACATATCTTTGCTCCAACTTGAAGCCAAATCCGTTGTAAGGTCGATAATCCTGGCGGTTTGTGTTTCATCAGCCGAAGCCTTCCTCTTCTGAACAAGTTTGACAAAGGGATTCTTGCTTCGGTGGATTTGCTGCCGTCTTTTCCGCCTGTTTTGGATCATTTCCTGCAACCAACGAGGAGACATCAGACCTCACAAAGTGCTCCTCCAACTTGGGATTTCCACCACAAGACTGACTTTTACGTCTTTCCCCAGTTGGACGTCAGCAGCAGCAGCCGAAACTGCCACAATCAGAAAACGAAGGGAGTGTCACATCTTTGCCAACTTTGGTGGAAAGAAGGCAAAAGTTTACCAGAAACAAAAAAGAAACTTTTCATGTTTACACAGGAAAAATGGTTGATTTAAGACCAAATCTATGTTTCCTTACTGCGTAGGATTGCTGAGAAAGCACATTTCTGTTCCAAAATAAATCAGGACTAGTTGTGAAAGAATTTGAAACAAGTAAGAACTGATTATATTTTGGCAGAGGATTTCAAAAGCGGATTTGTAAAAGTTGGGATTTTGTTTCTGGTGTACTACCGCCTATATTTTCCTGACACTTGGTTTTATCAGTTGTATTTCTATGCCGACACTAGTACAAACACTGTAGGGTGTCACGGCTCGGTCCGAAGCCGGTGGACCCGCTGTCTGTCTGCGGTCATGCTTTGCTGAACATATTATCCTCTGGGACAATAGACACCAAAACACGAGCTCCCGTCACATTGAGAGATGTTGAATAATTTAATGATTTAAACGGCTGCAGGTAAAATGAAAGGTGCAGCTCATAGCAACAAATCCACCTTGTTTTTTTTTTTTGTTTTTTTTTTTAAGCCTCTTTTAGCTTCTTGTTTTGTTTTTTCCAGTCCACAAACTCTGCTGTCATCAGCCTCATGGAGCGTCGAGCAGCTGAAGAGGCAGATGTTTCTCTGAGCTCAAAGGAGAGTGAACATTGAAACACAACCCAGAATGATGCTGAAGATGTAGATGTGTCATTTGTGTAGATAAAGTCAAAAAATTACCTTTTAAAAAGCCCCTATGTTTTTGTTTTGGCTCAAGAGTCTTTGAGCTAAAATATCATTGGGAGTCAGTCGGACAGTCCATGAGCTCTTTTGCTTCTTTGAGGCAAAACATTAAAAAAATGAAGTCCTGTTTAAATAGTGACATCATGTGAAAGTCGACACGTTCGTCTGCGTTTAAATGTATAAAATATCTATGAGAAGTGAAATCAAAGGAAGACAAAATATACAAATAATGCAGCTTTAACACAACATCAATAACAGACGCTGAAGCGTGGGGTGATGCTGCAGTGCTCCATGGGACTTGTAGTTTACACGGGTTTTAAGTGAACACAGACAGTTGTCAGGACTTTTACTTCCATAACTAGCTTTTAGGATTTTAGGATTATAATTACATGACCCTCACAAACAGAAAGATAGAAGTGACTATTCCTTTATGTCTGATTCATGTTTATTTGTTATCTGGTGGAGAGCCAACAACGTGTTAGCTTAGCTTAGCATAAAGACTGGAAACAGGGCGAAAACAGCCACATGTCGTGTTTAAAACGTACGAAAATCAAAGTTATGAAAACAACAGTTGCCTTTGTTTTGTGGGAGGTTATTAGCCAGACTATTATGTAATAATATCATATTCCAGTTCATGTTTTTATAAGGATCCATCAGTGAATATATTAGTTTACAATTCTCTCTTTATTTTTGCATTAGAAACCAGTTTTTGCTTGTTCTTCTACTGAGGCAAATTTACACACAACTGCCAACATAGGTTTTTCTAGAATCACTCGTTCCGTCTCTCTGGGAGTGGTGCTATTGTCCCTTTGTATTATTGTGTATTGATTATACTTTGCTTTTTAAATGAGATTGTGAAATCACGTTGTACTGTACAGACTAAATGCCAAAAAGATTCTTTTGCCACAATTTCAACATCTTTTTCTTTTTTCTTTTTTACTGAGGCTCTCAGATGTGTCATCTCAACATGTTGCCACTTCAGTTTTGCAGCTGGGTGGTTTTTCCATTCTTACACAACTGCTTTAGTCTCACGTAGAGCTGATACGTCCATGTCTGATTTATTGATCATGAGCATGGAAGCTGTAGCCGCAGTTTGTTTTTCCTTCTTTCATTTTTGTGGCTCAAACTAAAACCTTTAACTCCCGACTCATCCTCAAACATCTGCCTCTCTGCGTCTTTCTCTTCACTGTTATTTTTTCTTGTTTTTTTTTTTTTTTATCTTTTGTCTCTGCAGTTGCTCCAAGTTCTGCTTCTCCATCTTCTCCTCTCTTAATGACAGACTGTTCTTCCTCTTCTTTGATCCTGATTCAGCCGCCATTTTTTTTCTTCTGCCCTTGGCTACGATTCATAAATCTTTTTTGTTTAGTTAGTGTGTGTGTGTGTGTGTGTGTGTGTGTGTGTGTGTGTGTGTGTGCGCGTGTGCGTGCGTGTGTGCGCGCGCGTGTGCGTGTGTGTGCGCGTGTGTGCGTCCATCAGTCAGAACCTTCAGACCGCTGCCTTGTAAATTCTTCATTTCACACCAAACCATATTTGTCTTTGAGAGGACGTCAGGGCAAATTATGAGACAATACACACACAAAGGAGAAAGGCGGAAAGACAAATTATTTTCTTTTCTACAGTTTTAAGAAACTTGATGAAAAAGCAGGACGCATGTTTCTGTGTAGAAAAGTGTTAATATTTCTGTAGCATTTATTTGAAACTGAAAGCAGCTGCGTGTTTTCTCTTAAATCTTAAGTGGAAAAAAACTAATTTCACATATTTTTAACATCTCCTGTCTCATAGTTTGAGGAAACAAACAAATGTAAAGTGTCATTTTTTAAAAAAAAAACAGCATATCAGTGGAAATGTGGGTGAATTTCCACTTTGGCGCGCACACTATCAGAGCTATGCAGACACTTTTCTCTCTTCTCTTGAATGCACATTTGACTGTTAGCAAAATGCAAATATCATTTCCACACGCGCAGGTCGAGTTGAGGTCTTTTTCTTTTTTTTTTTAATAAATCTAAAAGTATGTAAATGTACATTCTGTATGTAGTCGCCTGTGTATCCAAGGATTTCTAAACATATAGCAAAGTATTATTATGTGTGCCTCTTTTTTTTTTTTACACTTGAAATAATGATAATAAAATGGTTCTGAGTGAAGTGAAGCCTTCTCTGTCTTGACCTGCGACACACCAGCTGACACACAATATGTTGCTAAATGGCGCCACTTGGTGATTAAGTCATAAATTGCTAAATATTATTTCAATTCAGAATTAAAAAAATCCAAAAGACAGTCAAAGTCCAGTTTAGATCAAGAAATATGTAAGTTTTGAATAAATATTTCATCATATATACAAGTAAAACTATGTTATGATCAGTTTTGAAAAAAAAAGATGTGGTTTATTTTTGTATTTTATGTAATTACTCAGATGCAAAACAGAAATTTTAGCATAAACATAAAAGGTTTAGAGTCTTATCTTACCTGCAAACAGCTGATGAAAAAATGATAGAAAACATCCACCTTATTCCAGTTTTTATTGAAATGTAAGCAGCTCAGACATCAAAAGTAAATAACATCAAATGGTACAAAAGTAAACAGTAAATGTAAAAAATAAAGTTAAGGTCACTAAAAACTACAAACTACAGGTGCAACACATTCATGGGAAACAAATAACTAACATTTCGATGTACGTTTCTCATTGTATAAAATGTTCGGTTTACCTGGAGACCATTTCTGTATCTTGTCTAATTTATAAACGATTCGTCTCTTTTTGCTTTAAAACTGAGAGAAAGAAGAAGAACAGACTTATTGTCACATTCTGAGTCAATCTGACTTGTTTTCTTTGATTTCTGCAAAACAGAAATGTTCATTTTAGGCCTGAAATTAATGTTTCACCTGCTACAAAAGTTAATGTATGAATGTTGCTGCTTGTTTGCTCCTTAACCTGAGAGACAAAAGCCCAACTGAGATGAACATGTGAATGAAATTAGTAATTTCGTGTATAAAATAACAGAATTGATCATCTTAGACTCGTGATGAAAGGGTGAACCAGTGATTGAACTCAGGGGACCATATTTAAAGGTTGAGACATGATTCGTGTGTTTTAACTCGTAATATCGTGTTTTCCGACTGCCTCTGAACAGTCCCTGAAGGCAGCAGCACCCTGGTCTGACCGGGTCTGGACTCTGGAAGTTGGACTACGTCAACAGCAGAGAGGAGACCGTCCCAGTCCTCAGAGGAGCTGAGCGGAGGCGGCGCACATATGGTCACTCCGAAACATCTCCAAATGTCGACAGGAGCGGAGGAGCGCGTCATGTTGTGTCCGTGCGTAAAGACGCACTGAAGAGGGACTCTAAAAATAAAATAAAATAAAAAAACAGCTTTGACGCTTTTTCTTCAGCATCAAGATGTTGGCGCGGAAAAGCATCATCCCGGAGGAGTTCGGTCTGCCGGGGCTCGCCTCCCGCATGCCCCGCAAGCCGGTGTTCAGGGACCGCGTGAACAAGGCGCGCTTCATCGCCAAAAACGGCTCGTGCAACTTGGCGCACAAGAACATCCGCGAGCAGGGCCGATTCCTGCAGGACGTGTTCACCACGCTGGTCGACCTGAAATGGCGCTTCACGCTGGTCATCTTCACCACTACGTTCGTCAGCAGCTGGCTGCTGTTCGCCATGAGCTGGTGGCTGGTCGCGTTTGCGCACGGAGACCTGGACCCGCAGCAGCGGAACCGGACCCACTGCGTCACCGAGGTCAAGTAAGAAACACCGTCAGTGTTATAACAGTTCAAATTTAAAGCGCAGAGTAGATTGTTAAAGTGCGTTTAATGTGTTTGATGTCACTGAAACTCTTTCTCTCTCCATCCTCAAACCTCCTAACGCCCACCCTCCTCTTCCTCCTCTTCCTCCATTTTTAAACTCCATAGAGGAAGAGGAGGGAGAGAGAGAAAGACATGAATTATGATAGGAAGTTATGAAAAGTTTTGCCCTCATTATTTCAGATGAAATAAAGTGAAGGTAACAGGAGGGGAAGGGAGTGTTTTGCACCTCCCTCTTAGCCCCCACTCTTCCTCCTCCTCCTCCTCCTCTTCCTCACTCTCCTTTACATCTCACATACTTCCACTCCTCTACTGACTCCTACATGAACTCAGATACTCGCCCACTACATCTGTTTAGGAGCTTTACTTACTTTTCAGATTAAGATTTTACATTAAAAAATATGATAAACTTATAAAAATATGACATATTTTAAAAGATTTTAACAGTAGTTTCCAGCCTTTTTGGTTTGTGACCTTTGACCCCAACCTGGTAGGTAGCTGCTTCAACAACGAGAGATTTCCTCTCTTTTTCTTCACAATGGAGTCATTCAAAAACTGTCTGAGGCCCAAAGAGGTAAAACGCTCCAATATCTCACAGAAAAGAAAAATATTTGAGAAAAGTCAGAAAATTTAATCCAGGTTCGTGTTTCAGAACTTTATTGATCCTCCCAGATTTACCTTGTGACCCTTTGGAGGATCCAGATCCCTATGTTGGGAACCACTAAGTGAGAACAATGACTTGTTACAGAGTATTTTATATCGTGTCAGTGAAGCAAACCACCTTGAATATGAAAATATGACTTCAGCAACCAAACAGCTGTGCGAGCAAATATAAACAGAGCGATGCCTTAAATGGGAACAAATGTCCCGGAGAAAAATTGATTTAAGATGAATTCACTAAACAGAAAATTTTAAAGCTACAGGTTTTTTTTTTCTTTTCTAAAAATATTCCCATTACATCTGCCAAACTCTCAACGTGGGCCAAACACACAGAGTCTGTACGCGTCTGAAACTTTAAAGGACCCTGAAATAATTTGTCACATTCAACCAACTGTGACTGATTTGTTTCTAAAATCTCTCCCTCCAGGTCGTTCACCTCAGCCTTCCTGTTCTCCATCGAGGTTCAGGTGACCATCGGCTTCGGAGTGCGGATGATAACGGAGCAGTGTCCGACCGCCATCACCGTCCTCATCCTGCAGAACATAGTGGGGCTCATCATCAACGCTGTCATGCTGGGTAAGACTCACGAGCTGTGACACCGAGGGCTGCGAAGACACAACGAGTAACCGTGGAAATGTGTGTTTCTCTCTCCTCAGGCTGTATCTTCATGAAGACGGCCCAGTCGAACCGTCGAGCGGAGACGCTGATCTTCAGCCGTCACGCCGTGATCGCCGTCAGAAACAACCGCCTGTGCTTCATGATTCGCATCGGGGATCTGAGGAAGAGCATGATCATAGGAGCCACCGTCAGGTTACAGGTGTTGCTCTACTTCATTCTCACCCAAGTCTGATTCTCAGGCTCAGGAAGTCTCATCTCACCTCAGGTCGGTGGGTCGTTCTGAGCCTCGGTGATGCAGCATATAACCACTGTTATTACTCTTTTTCTTACTTCCTAATTATAATAATCATGCTCTATGTTTTGAAACTACAGTTCCTGTAATTCTAAAAGTAGCTGAATTAGCTATTAGCACTTCCTGTTTGCAGTGAACTCATGAATGTACAGACAGTTATCACTGGATTACTGTGAGACTCAAAAGAATTTTTGAGATGTGACGATTCTCAGACAAGTTCTGACGTGTCTATTGTCTATGATTTACAAGTGGATTTATGGACGTTCCCTCACAGTGGATATCAGAGATAATTATATCCTGGGGGAGAGCGGGTCGTGCTGAATATAAAAATGTGTGTTTCATGTCTGTGTGTTCAGATTTGACTGAGTTATGACTCTATGACTGAGAATGACCTTAATCACCTTCATGAGCTGACTGTGTTGACAAATGTGTTAAATTAGCAGGTGGAGCTACAATAATTGACTTCCAGTTGTTTTTAGAACACCTGAAAACACCTGTCCCCCTCCCCCTCTGTTTTAACCACCTGACACACTTTTATTTTAACATCAGTTGTTGTTTTTATTTTAGTTTCATGTAGGAAATTCTTGTCAGAGTTGGAAAAAAATGGGGAAGTTATTGCAGTTGCTCCCTTCTCGTCCTGTAGTTATTATTGTTCATCACATGGTGAATGGTTATTGCTCCTCAGGTGGTGAGGAAGACGACCACACCAGAGGGGGAGGTGATCCCCATCCATCAGATCGACGTCCAGACGGAGAGCGCCGTGGCCAGCAACAACCTGTTCCTCCTCGCCCCGCTCATCATCTGCCACGTCATCGACAAAAACAGGTACAAAAACACAACACCTGCTCTGGTGTGGATGCAGTCACACGTTCTCTCTGCTGCCGTTTCCTCAGATTTTTCTTTTCTTGGGAAATTCTGAAAAGTTTTTGCTTTTAAAACTTATCCAAAAGAGACAATATGAGAAAGGAAAATCATTCTTGGTTGAGCTGCTTTCATTTGTGTAACTCACTGGCTCCATCTGCTGGACGGAAACAAACTTACAGGACCAAAGAGCGGCAGTAAATATCTACTCAAACAACAAAAACCCTGCCATACTGGCTTTTTGTTTCTTTCTGTTTTTGTTTGTATTTTACTTTGACATTTTCCCGGCATGAATACACCTCAGTTCTCTGGTTAGATATCAAGATATCACTTGAAAAAATTCAGTATAAAACCAAAATTCAGTATAAAACCAAAAAGGAAGCAAATGAAAAATACAATTTTAAAAGAGGGAAAATAAAAACTTTTTTGATCTTAATTAATTAATTTATTTTTAAATATTTTTTTTATTAATGATTGAGGATTTCTGCCGAGTAAGGAGGTGCACATCCATGGAGAGATGTGAAGGTATAACGAGACGTAGAGGTAGCAGCAGCTGAGAGAGATTCAAACACACACACACACACACACACACACACACACACACACACACACACACACACACACACACACACACACACACACACACACACACACAGGTTGAGTATGTGACGTGTGTGTTGTCTCTGCCCCTCAGCCCGCTGTACGACCTGTCAGCCATGGAGCTTCAGTGCAGCGACCTGGAGGTGATCGTCATCTTGGAGGGAGTGGTGGAGACGACGGGGATCACCACGCAGGCCCGGACCTCCTACGTCTCTGAGGAGATCCAGTGGGGTCACCGCTTCGTTCCCATAGTAACGGAGGAGGAGGGCGTGTACTCTGTGGACTACTCCAAGTTTGGCAACACAGTCAAGGTAAAAAAAAAAAAAGTTAAACGCAACGGATTCAAACAAAGTCTCACAGATGTTGTTGCGCTTCTTAACACCTAACCTTTGGCTCTTTAAGGTGACGACGCCGCTGTGCAGCGCCAGAGAGCTGGACGAGAAGCCGTCCATCTTAATTCAAACTCTCCAGAAGAGCGAACTGTCGCACCAGAACTCTCTGAGGAAGCGTAACTCCATGAGACGCAACAACTCCATGCGTAAAGGCGCAGGGAGCAGCGGGAGCCTGCGCCGGAACAACTCGGGGATCGCCTCGCCCAAAGTCCAGTTCTTCACCCCTGGCGACGGAGGCCAGACCCTGAACGCTGTCACCTGACATGAGGCCTGGCTCCTGCTGGCCGCCCTGCTCCTCCTGGTGGGAAGGAGGATCGTGGGTGTGGCTGTGTCTCCTGCGCTGATGGGACTCGTTCTGTTTCTGTTCCCTGCCTTATCTAGACTTGTCTCGCAACACATTTACTGCTAATGTTACTCTCCAAGGCTTTACGATCTCTACAACACACATCATTTTATTTCCTTAGACCCCTCAGTCTGGATATAGAGATATCTGCAGAGATAATTCGCTGCCGAAGATAAAGACTGACATTAAATTGAATCACCAATTAGATAAAAATTAATCAAACATTCACTGGTCCTAGCTTCTAGAATCTGAGGATTTGATGCTTCTCTTCTCCTGTGACTGTTGAAACTGTGATGGTCATTTTTCACTCTCTCACTAAACAGTTTTAAGTGCAACACGAACACACACCTGTAACATGAGACGCACATCAAACCACCGACACCCACCGTTTCCTATGTTTCCCGGAACTGATGCACGTTAACTCCATCACTACATGACGGCCTGCCTGCTGCAGGTGCATGATGAGATATCACATGACACAGATGCGCTTAGCTGAATAATTAGTGACACATTTGAGCGATTAATCAATGTAGACAGAAAAAGCGATCTGAAGATGTTGCCTCGGGCTGTGGGACCTTGTGATGGATATTTTTCACATTAATTATTAATTTTTTTTTGTTTTTTAAATAATCAAAAGATAAATAGATAATACAAATATTTTTATTAAACTTTTTTTGTAAAGCAGAAATAAAAAAACAACAACAAAAAAACACAATAAACCAACACAAAATACAGACGAAACAACCGAGATGAAAAACAACAATCAAATCCAGGGACAGCTGTTCTTACATCTGGAAAGCTGTAACTCCACTGCATTTTTCCAGACTGGTTCTATCAGTCCAGCCTTTATCCTTTGAGATTTAGTGGCTCCCAGGTATTAAAGATTGGCTCGAGGGTTCAACCTTTAAGGCTGTGGAGAAAGCTCCAGTGCTTGTTTCATTATCCAGCCACTGATTTAGAGTAGGACCTCTATCATTGATCCACGTGACTGGGATGCACTTCAGAGCAGAGTGCTGCAAAATACAGAAAAGGTCTGTTACACAAATCAGCAAGTGACTCATTATACAACAATTTTCCTGAGGTTAAAACAGCCAAAGGCAGATGATGCAAGTGTTTCACCGACGGTTTTCATCACATTTACAAAACTATTCATTATTAAAGCAATAAATACAAACACTATTCTGTTCAACATACATTTGTACATTTGTAATTTTCACTCGTTTGTGACTTGTGTTGTTTGAGAATAAACTCACTCACTTCATCTGAATGTTTCTGTATATGAACTGTCTGTATATGAATGATCCCAGTAAAGAAATACATTCATTTAGTAGATAATATATGGAGGTGGCTTTGTCTCAATATTATTTGTGTGAACAGATCCTGTGCTGTGAATATAAAACACTTTCCACAAATACAGAAAATAAATTTGTAAACTCATAAAAAATATCTTGCAAACATAAAACGGATATGCAAATGTACAAATTCCACGAATAAAAACATATCTGTGCATACATCAATTCATTTACAAATAATTTATTTACAATTTACAAGTAAATTAAAAGTATTTGTGAATATCTACCTAACGTTTACAACTTTCAAACAGACATTTGTGATTAATTTTCTGTGAGTAAATGTCAGTTCTACGCTTGTGGTTTTTGCATTTTACACACACAGTTTTGAGACTTGTATCGCTCGGGCCACTTCCGGGAAAACAAGTGATCGCAATTTCCGCTTTTCAAAGTAAGAGCACGCAAATAGACTGATGGTTGATTACAATAATGGGTATGAAATGTGGTGTATTTCACATTGCAGGTGTGTCCCACTGTGTGACTGTTGGTGCAAAGACTGTGGAGGAGTGGAGGGAAGAGATGAAGAGAAGACGGTGGGGACAACTTTTTCTATCTTCATTTATAACTTTTAATTGACATTATTCATTATTATATTTCATTTGTTGCATTTGGAGTGGATAAATCTTATTTAGTAACAAGTAGAAATTGTAGTAGAAATAGTTTTACACTGGTTTTACAGTTTAACGTTAGCACACATGCTAACTTCAACTACGATAACATTACAAGTTACTCCTCACATATATGATATTTGCCAAATGTGGTTGTATGTAATTAGCCTATAAGACTAATTTAACATTTGTGAAAGCTAACCGTGTTAGCAACATCTTAGCACGGCTCAGCCAGGAGCCTGTTGTTGTCACGTTGCCGATGCAGGTGGGCGTACTTAGCGTCCTCGAGGACACAGGTCAGACCCCCCCCACCCCCACCCCCAGCTCCACCCTCTCATCCAAATATGGTTTCTTCTGGCTCCAAAAAAACCAAGATGGCGACGCACGGAGCACAGCACTAATTTGTCAACATAAGTGAAAACACCTGTGGACTATAGGTGTGCTGGGTCTTTGAGATTTCACACACAAATTATATGGTACCTTCATAAAATCATCATCATGCATTACTGTTGGTTAAATTAATAAACATTATAAATAGCTAGAATTTGCTACATCTCAACCAGCTTCACTCAAATGCTACTTATACTTAAATGTGTCATCTGTTTTTCTTTTGTTAGCACACAGGTAACTGGAAGAAGAAGACGAGGTGAGCTACAGGTCGCATGTGCTGTGATTGGTGAGTACTAATTAGGGATTTTCTTTTTCTTTTTTTTATTTGTATTGTTTTTCTACATATTAAGATAAATTCTTTCAACAAAGTGTTAAAAATATTGAGTTTTTGGGTTTTTGTTGTGTATTTTGTACCTTTGTGAAACCAAATATGCACCAAAAAAGCAGACACATTAATACCAAAAACAGGATTCGGCGTGGACAGTTAATGTTCTCAGTTAAGCAGGTGACTGACAATTTACACTTTCAATCCCAACTGAGAGAAACACTGTGGGACACAGTAATGCACAACATTGACCACACGAGGTCACTGTGCACTCACGGCTGCCTGCTGAAATATATACGTATATATATATATATATACTTCTTTCTAGGAACTACACACACTTCTCTTGTCTAAGAAAAGACTTAACTCCGTGACTCAGACTGAATCAGTGGCGTTGACTTTAAACATGCAGGAGTTTTAATCTATCGCTTTTTGTTAATTTTGTGCCATGTTAAACAGCAGAGGGTGAAGCTATTTATAGCCCTCGTCATTTGTTTCTTTTCTTTGCTGATGGACACAGTTGTCCCTTGCAACCGGCCACCGAGGGCGCCTTGATTATACTGGAACCACCTGCTGTCCTCATGTTGTGCACAGGCGTGTTTTAGTAGAGCTCAGTCCACTCTTGGATGAGACAGACATGGGACATTCTCACAGGCTTTAAGACTTGTTTTGTGGCCTCCTAAGGCCACAATTACCCTCACTCAGTCTGAGCCCCAGAAGATTTATAATAAGACTGAAATATACCCGCCCTGGAGACGACGTGTTACAGCACAATAACGTACAAATGTTGTCCCTAAGGAGGTGCATGTAGCAGTTTAACTGGCTCTTTTCTGATGCCACAGCGCACCTGTCAGTCTCTGTCAGTTACCTCATCCTCTGAACACCGCATTTGTCCTTTCCCACCTATAACTCAAAACGTGGGAACATAAAATCTTGACACCAGTATTTAAATGTTACCCCGTGGGAGCAATTAAGCTTTAATCCACTCAGAGCTGAAAACAGAAAGCCTCCAATAGCAAGAATGTTTTCATTACATTCCAAAGTGGAGACGAGGCCTGGACAGTAAAGCTCGTCTTGCACGTCATTGTTCTTACTGAAGCTCTTTCGTGGCGCCTATCTATCTTTAAGTGCTGCTCGTCTTTACAGGAAAAAAGTGTTGGTGCTCTGACTGACTACAGAGATGATAGATAGATAGATAGATAGATAGATAGATAGATAGATAGATAGATAGATAGATAATCTGTTCAGACAATCAAATTTACACGTAGTTACTCTTGTAACTCAAAAATATCATTAGTTTGTTGGTTCTAATACCTCGAATGTCCTGGGCACATGAGATTCATGGTGTCGGCTCAACTCGGAAAATGTGACAGCTGTAACTTCCCACCATTAAAATCCTCGCTGGCTCTGACGTACTTAAGAGATCGCAATTTGCTTTGTTAATGGAAGTTCTTAAACACCACATGCTTTTCAACCGTGGCTTTTAAACTATCATGATGGATTAGCAAGTTCCCCCAAATTGCAGACACATTTGGATGATTCATAGTCTGGCATGGAAGTCAAGGGAATAATCCACAATTCAGGAAGGAGTTGTGGTACCTTTTTTTTTTTTTTTTCTCTCTCTCTATTTATCCTCCATATTCCTGCCTCCACATTTCTGTGTCTTGTCGGTGCAGGCGGCTCGGTGGGCCTGTGAAAGTATGGATGTTATTTGTTGTGGATGATACTGTGTGTTGCTTTTGTGGGACTGGAAAGCACAAGTGTGTGTGTGCATCTGTTGTGAATCTGAAATAGTCTCTCATCTTGTCCTTACAAAGGAATGAGGAGCACTGCAGGGTCAGAGTAGACAGCGTCGGGGGGGGGTCTTTAGGGGGATAAGTGGGGGGGAGTGTGTATGTGACTGACAAGACTTGGTGAAGGAGAAAATAGACTATTCCATCTGTCTCAAAATCCGCCCTGCTGCTGACCCACACTCTGGAGACTTTGGTCAGCCTATGATCACATGATGAAGGCAAACCCTTAAAAACCCCCCGAGCTACACGCCCGAGACCTCAGTCATCTCTGTTGTCTGAGACACCAGCTGGTCTCGGTGTGTTCATCCCGCTCTCTCTCTTCCCTGGATAGCCTCCGAGGTACCATCATGTCAGACACTGAGGAAATTGTGGAGGAATATGAGCAGGAGGAGGCAGAGGAAGAGGAGGTTGAAGAAGTTGAAGAAGAAGAAGAAGAGGAGGAGGAAGAAGAAGAGGAGCAGAGGGACACTGAAGCAGAGAAGAAAGAAGAGCATGCTGATGAGAACGAGCATGAAGAAGAGTCCAAACGGCGACGACTTATGTTCCAAAATATCGCTCCTCCGAAGCTCCCTGATGGTGAGAAGGTGGACTTTGATGACCTCCACCGCAAGAGAGTAGAAAAGGATTTCAACGACCTCCAGACGCTGATCGAGCTGCACTTCTCCAACCGTCAGAAGGAGGAGGAGGAGCTGGTCTCGCTGCGCAACCGCATCGAACGCCGCCGCTCTGACAGAGCCGAACAGCAACGTGTCCGCACAGAGCAGGAGCGTGAGCGCCAAGCGCGGCTGGCCGAGGAGAGGGCGAGGCGAGAGGAGGAGGCGGCCAAGCTGCGCGCCGAGGAGGAAGCCAAGAAGAAGAAGATATTCACCAACAAGTCGTTCGGTGGCTACCTGCAGAAGGTGGACCAGAAGAAGGGCAAGAAGCTGACGGCACGAGAGGAGAAGAAGAAGGCCTTGATGGAGCGCAGGAAGCCGCTCAACATCGACCACCTGAGCCAGGAGAAGCTGGCAGAGAAGGCGCAGGACCTGTGGCAGTGGCTCCACCAGCTGCACGCCGAGAAGTTTGAGCTGGCCGAAAAGCTCAAGAGGCAGAAGTACGACATCTACGTGCTGCGAAACCGAGTCAACGACCACCAGAGGGGCTCCAAGGCATCTAAGACGTCCCGCGGCGCCAAGGGCAAGTCTGGCTCCTGGAAGTGAGGGGCAGAGTCCACGGCAACCGGACTGCCGATTTTGTTTCTGGACTATTTGGCTCCTATTTACAACTTGTATCATAAAAGCTATCCCAGGGATTGGGTGTAGATGGAGGGGAACCTCCTTTTTCAGGAGCCTGGGGGACTCAAGTGAATGAAATGAAGCCACAACATCTTGAATGACATCTGTGATTCTTCTATTGAGACAAAATGATTTACTTTATTCACCATTTCAGTTTATTACATTTGAATGTGTGGTGGTTTCCTGCTCCACCAGAGTATCCTCTGTGTTTTATTTTGCTCTTGCATACTAACAATATGTTCACCAGTGTAACTGTTCATGATTAGTTTAATGTGCCCACGTTTCAAATAAGATGTCAAAATTGCATTTGTTTCCAATAAATCAAGACTCATTTTACTTTCAGGTATCATTGTTTTCATACTTGTGCAATTATCTGCTGTATTTCAGTGTATCTCAGTTTACTGTGACTCTAAATCCTCTTGATCTGATTGTGATTTCAAACCTCTTGAAACATGCTCGCTGTGTTTTTGACAGAGGTAGCTCTGTAACAAGGCAAAACTGTTTTGTTAATACTTAACTGAACTGATGATGAGGCTAAGAGCAGCATGGGAGGGGTCTAACAGGTGTGGCACAGCTGACTTCTTACACAGCTAATTTAGTCTCTATGTTGAACCCAGAGTGGAAGAAGCTTCACATGGGGGTCGTTTGATGTCCTGAAGGCATCGTATTAGAATTTAAAAGGCCCAGTTCCTCAGATTTTAATGTTCTGCAACTTCCAATTAAATTAAATTAACTTATTTAATTTAAAACAATTATCAGATAGGAAAATTATGATGATAGACCATAAACTCAGCATCAGTTAGATAAACACTGTTACGTGACATATGAACTAGATGTGTATGTGTTAAAGGCTGTACAGTATATATTGAAATATCTGCACAAAGATTTAGTGCATAACAATAATAAAAGAAAATCCTATTTCAGTTTCTAATCACGCTCTGATTTCACTGATCAGATCAGAACTCTGTAGTAATTGATAGGCCACAAGAAAAGCTAGTTCACCCAGTTTACAAGGACTTTATTTATTTAATTAATATTAACATTAAAAAGTTCCTATGATTTATGATCATAATATATTGGCAGTATTTTCCACAGCTCTCACTATTTCCTCTTTAAGTTTTTTTATTTTTACTTCCATGTTATTAAATCGGTTTTGAATCTAACTTGATTTATCAACACAACTGCCCATATTTTTTTTTTAATTAAAATGATCTTAATCTTTTACCTTTTTTTTAGTTTTAAAAACAACATTCAAACTTAATTGAATTCAGGATTTTACTTGCGAGGTGAAACCCTATGATAAATGATTAGAATATATTTCTCCTGTTGGAGAGTCGGTTCATCTATAACCATGTTTCCAGTCACTCTTTACTCTCAACGGATAAATAAAAGCGCATACACCATAAAATAATAAAATCGAAAAAACCTGATTTATATGCGGATGTGATCAATCAAATGCTTAAAACCACACTGCAGTGACTTTAATAGTGAATTGCCATATGTGACGTGATTTCCATCCTTTTCAGTTTGTGTCCACTGAAAATCCTCCTCTGGTTCAGCTGAATGTCAAAGTATAGAGCAGTGACATGTTATTTCCTCTAGGTGGCACTGGGACACCAGTTTGTAACATACACATCTGGAAACAGTGCATTACACAGCTAAATGTTTGTGTATGTGTACATAATACATATTATTTTTTATTAGTAAAATTATACAGTTAACATGAATTCAAGTGTCTATGAGCCAGTCATGTGGTTGTATTCAGTTTTAAACTAAAGTGGAAAAGCCCTTTATATCCACAAAGTAAAACTCTATTCTAACTGAATAGAAGCCAAAGATTATAGGTACAGACTCCTTGTCCTTGTTGGTGCATACCAATTACCTCTTTAAGTACGCTGAGACAGACCTTTTTCAGTGCGCAGCAGAGACATCCGCCTCTTTACCAACAATGAACTGCAGTGAAACGTAAGTCAGACCAAAGTACGAGCAAATTTCTCTCCCCTGCGGTTTTTGATTGTCAGTCAAGCTCGGAGTGTCGATACCTTACCGCTGTTTTGCTCTCATGGCCGTGACAAAGCATTAAAACCTCCAGACACGATAGTATGTCAACAGGTTACCATAGAGACAGGGAGAGGCTGTCTATGCAATCAGGGGTCTCTATACCCCCCCCCCCCCCCCCCTCCTCCAGCCTCAACACGCCCACTCGCACAAACACCCCGCCACCTCAGCTTCAAGGTGTGTGGTGGTCTGTATTGATGAGGTCGTGAAAAATGCCTGACTTGGCAGCATTGAGACGTACCAGTGCATCAATTGACTACCCATGTTGCACCGGGGGAACAAAGTGTTCCCACAACTCTGCTGCTGAAGTTGAATTTGATAACAAGTTGTTCTTTCAGTTTATATACATCTGCTCCTGCTGTGTTGTGTTGATGGATCCCATTTAGGTTTGAAAGAAAGTGTGCACTTTACTCTGATTCACATGCAGTTGAAACGTGGCTGCTCACATCAACATGAGTGTGTGTGTGTGTGTGTGTGTGTGTGTGTGTGTGTGTGCACCAGGAACAGCAGCTACAGGGTCTTCAGGGGGGTGTTGCCTGCTCATTAATACCCAGCAGAGACTAGAGAATAATGTAATCACTGCATGATTGACAGTTCCTGCGCCAGACTCTGAACTCTGACCAGGAACTTATTATCTGGTGCAGGTTTGTCCGCAGAAAATCTGCATTTGAATCAGAGCGATGCTGATTCTCGCCGTTCAGTCCTGTGTTGTTTTGCATGGTAAGGATGGTTGTTGGCTGCATTTAATGCGCACTTGTTTTCACTGAAACAGGATTAGAGATCTGCTCGCTTCTGTTGGGAATTCACTTAATCTAGACCACGATAGGTTTTGATGAATTAATTTTTCGAAAAGATGTCAAAGCTCCTTACTTCTCTAAGTTTCTGACAGATGGTGGATATTTTTGAACAAGTCTGTCAGCAGCTGTTTTTCGTATTATTTAGCAATACTTTAAGAAGACTGCACTTTTGTCTTACTACTTCAGGAACCTCACTCCAAAGAGATCTTTATGTCAGCCACAGTTTGGCTGCAGTTCACATTAGAAGCACTGTTTATACATTAAAAACCACCTCTAGCTGTGCACATACATTTTGCTGCAGTGATAAACCGACAGCTCAAACATAGGTGACTTTATTGTACTACAATAAACATGAACACTCGTACTCGCACACTGGACAAAAATGTCAGATTTCAGTGTTAAAACATGTATTTTCTGTAAAGATTGAGATCAAGGCTCAGAATACCAACTTGGCTCCAGGCTGCTAATTAATATGAAGAGACACACAGGTGGATGTGAACAGCAGATTTCAGTATTTTCTGGTAATCATACAGTAATGGCTTCAAAGATTCATAATGAAGAGTGTTTGTTATGTACAGGCACAAAGTGGTTTAGTGGAAGGAAGAAAGTAGCTGCTCACCGGCCGCTTGTATGTTACTTTCATTTTTTTTTTTTCCCCATCTGTGGTTTAATTAGTTGATTCTTTCCCAATGGAGACGTAATTACAGAAATAGTTCATGTAAATATCCGAACACTCCAAGGTCCACTTTTCCATTCTGGGGCTGTGGTCTCCGACTTTTGGACCCCACTGTATAACACTAACCAGAATATAAACAGCAGCTGCTCGAACTGGCTCTCTGCATGTGAGTTTAGTCATGGAGGAGCAAAACCAGTCCAAGGGGATGGCTGCCTTGATTCATTGATTGTAATTTCCCATATGTCTGTGCGCCGCAGCGTGTATTTAACTCCACGGTATCCTGCGTTATGGCTGTAGCTGCTCATGGTTCATATTAATTATTCACAATTTTCTTTAATGAGGATTAGATGAGCACATTGAAAGAGAAAAACACATTTTCACACTCATCAACCATGAGACAGCAGCTGACCCCAGTGTACTCCAGGTTTTTATTAAATGTTTTCCGTGTTGTTTTGGGGCAGAGAACGTTTTTAACATGCGGCAAAGAGAAATCTGTTTTACGATGTGATGAAACTGGTAAAAACATAACGAAGTAACAACAGTAGTTCATCATGTTATCCCCGCCTTTGTGTCATCATTTCAGGCAGGCAGTGGGGTTTTATTCTGAAATACATCCCATTACATACATTATGATGAAATAATGAAACATAACCTAAATTAAACTAGAGCTGCAAGAATACTTTCACTATCAATTAGTCTATTGATAAGTCTTTGGGTTTTTGTTTAGTCTGTAAAAGTCTGAAATCAGTGAAAAATGATCATCACAGTTTGATGTCTTCAGATGTTAGTGCCACACCCAAAAAGATTCAGTTTACAACGATTCAAAACTGGAAATCATCACATTAGATCAACTGAACCAGAGACTATTTGACATTTTTGATGAAGTTATTGATTACCTTCCTGTTGATCAACTGTAACTTGAGTTAAATTACCCATAGGTGCCGTATATAGAGTAGTTATAATTAGCTCCAGCCATCAGCTACATCACTGAAATGCTGCTTACTTGTTAATAATAACTTTGCTCAGATAATTGATCTGAGGAAAAGTCAATAAAAAAACATTTCAAATTAAAAGTTCTGTAGCTGTATTTTAAAGTAGTGCTAGGTTTTCCGGTGGTGTTGCACACAACACTGAATGATCAGTGTTTAAAGAAATACTCTGAAGGATTTGTTGGTGGCAGTTTGCCCCTCCTCCTCAGAGAGAGAGAGAGAGAGAGAGATGTTATTTCAGGATCGTTTCACAGTGGTTATGTTCTGAAGCACAAATAAACAAACCCACACCTCCGCCACATGCGGTGGCGAATATTATTGACGTGTGATGATGCGTTGCTTTAAATGTTGCTGCCGCAAGCAGTTTTGATACAGGATTATTTCCTTTCCTTTAGTGAAGGATGGTCCAGTGTGCCCTGTGCTGAAGGGGAAGAGATAGGAAGCACTGAAGCACCTTTCCTTAGCGTTTAGAGAATTGGACCAGCTCTTATCATGGCTGCCACTTACAGACTTCTGGGTCATTTCACAGCCCTGCAGCTCTTACTGCTAAATAAATGAGCACTTTTACACTTCAGGTTCCCTCGTATTATTAATTAGGCAGAGAATTGGGTATTTTAGTACTAATCATAATTTAACCTAAGAGGTGATTTTTGCCATTCA